TAGTAGTAGTAGTAGTAGTAGTAGTACTGTAGTAGTAGTAGTAATACTAGTAGTAGTAGTAGTAGTAGTAGTAGTAGTAGTAGTAGTAGTAGTAGTAGTAGTAGTAGTAGTAGTAGTAGTAGTAGTAGTAGTAGTACTAGTAGTAGTAGTAGTAGTAGTAATACGTAGTAGTAGTAGTAGTAGTAGTAGTAGTAGTAGTAGTAGTAGTAGTAGTAGTAGTAGTAGTAGTAGTAGTAATACTAGTAGTAGTAGTAGTAGTATATATACATATATATATATATACATATATATAAAGGAGAAGCAGAGAACAGCCATTGGAAAGGACAGAAAGGACAACCGATACAACAACCAACTTAAAAGTTACATTACCGCTGCTGTGAAACACTTAATCGATTGGGGAACGCCGAAGAACAAGGCAACACGAATGACACGCTCAGCAACAGAAGAAAGTAAGATTAAAAAGTCAAAGGAATCATGAGCATGGGAGAGTATCAGCAACACACCAATGGCGAAATGAAGATTTAAAATACATCTTTCAACAGCGAGGAAACAATGTTCGTGTAGCAAGTCAACGTACATAAACACACGACACAAATTAAGAGAGCGCGAGGTGGGAGGATAAAGCCAATTTACTCAATCGACCGTCAGTGGCACCGAATCATGCTATAGGCCGGCTAAAATTCAGATCAATATCGGTGCCAAGCCGCTCGATCATCGTTTCGAGCTGATTCATGATGAGAAAAGAAAAGCAGTCGTGGCTGTGCGGGCCACCATCAAAACGGCCCATAAACATTCGATGAAAAAACTCATCCGCGAGAAAACATCTAGACGATTGTACATGTATTAACTATTTTCATGTTTGTTTCCTCAGCGAAAGGCGTCCGCCATTATTTCTACTTCGATGATTTCAATTACTAGTACTACAATTACCATTAAGGGGGGGGGGGGGGGAGAAGTGCAGGCGGGACAAACACCTGTTCTGTGCGATACAAATGGACTGATCCTTGGAAAAAAAGAAACCTGTGAAAAATGCTAAAGCTAGGGAAATTAGTCGAATCAAAGAAGGATGTTAGTTGGCTTTCCTTAACAGTGTGTTAGTACGACACTGCGGAAGCCATAGCGACCATGGGTAACGATGATACCGCGCAAAAAATCCTTGTATAGAACCTATAGTGATGATATATATATATATACGGAAAGCAAGACGTGGTGGCTTCGTAATAATAATAATAATGATGGTAATGAAAATAATACTGATGCTATTGATGATGGCAAACAAAATAATAATACTGATGATTACGATATAAACGAATTATAACGAAGTTGTAATGAAACAATCGATTGACAGACACAGACAACAAATACATTCTAATAAATACATTGAGCTAGCTATCTATCGACTGAGCAACACGGAAGATATAGTGAAAGGTAAATGTGAATGTAGATGTAAACGGAACAGCTAAGAAATCGGTGAAAGCAAAACGGAAAAGGGAGCAGTTGCGGGGCGACGATGGAAGCGTTACAAAGCTTCACTTGAAGACAATGTAGGGGGCACGCCAATAGGTCGACCTCTATCAACGCGTGCTGGTCAATACATACGTGCCACTTGAATTTTGATACTTCGAGTGCCGTGTGAGAGAAAAAGGCCACAAAAAGGTGGAGAAAGACACTGAGAAAAGAAGAAAATGTGCGTGTATGTTTGGTGTGTCCTTCTTGTAAACTGAGAGATTCAGTGGATGCGTGAGTGGCTGCCTGGTACCATGAAACGCGCATGCGTTAAATAGCAGGGAAATAGAATGGGTTGATCGATTGACAGATGGGGCAAAAGGAACGAAAGCAACAATGGGTGAACAGGAAACTGAGAAAGACATTGCCGAATTGCAGATGATTAAATGTTAAATAAAGTATAAAGGAAGGTGGTGCTGATGATGATGACGACGGTGTAAATGGTGACGACTAGGCTATCAGCAATGAACAATGTGCCGCGATAAATCATCGTGAAGATGGGACATAACGGTGAACGAAGATTTAGTACAGTAATAGCAACGTAGGCGGGTTTGGCCGGAAAGTGGACCGGTTACTGCTGCTGTACAAGCCAACCAAACAAATGAAGCAACAAATAGACAAGGAATACAACAACAATAACATCAGCATCAACAGTAACAACGACAATGAAAATAAGAAAAAAGAACGAAAGAAACATGAGTGTGCTTGTGTAGTAAACAAAAAAAGTAGAGAGAAAAAGGATGATGGCGAAAGAGGACATCAACAAGAAGAACAACAACATTACAAGATGAAAATAAAGAACTGAAGTTGTATGAGCTGTGAGGCGTAGAACAACATTATGACCATGACGATAATTACAAAGACGACGACGACGACGATGATGATAATAATGATATGGATAATGATAATGATGATGGTAATAACAATGATGATGGTGATGATAGACGTAGATGGCGGTTGGTCGGCCGAAGAAGTTAAGGAGAGTAAATTGAGCGACAAGTTTAATGGGTGAGTAGAAGAAAAACGCTATTTCATGGGCGGCTAGCAATGAATGAATGGATGCATTGTACGAAGCGAGTTGATATTGAGTAGTGTATTGTATAGAACGGGTGAAAAAACGTGAATTTTTAGTTCGAAAAAAAAAGAGAATTGTGAAAGAGAAAGTTGTGAAAGAGAATTATGTGGTGGGTGGTGGTGTGGGCTGGTTGGCAGTTATTACCTATATGTTCACTGACGTTCGGATGCGTGACAATAAAAAGTCTTCGATGCATCCTTGATCTGCTTTATGAATAATTAACAAAGACAACCAATCGATTTAAGATTGTCAAACTCAGCTAGAATTGCTACCTACCATGACTGTGCCGACTACGCTGCTTTAGAATCTCTTGAAGTGTTATAATTAGAAAAAACAAATAAACAGTATGTAATCAGGATTGTTCATTGCGGTGTATGCTGGCCTGTAACGGCGAATGCACATACAATTGGTGTATGGTCTTTGATGGTGTATGTCCGCTTATGCGACAGTGGGGTTCGTTTTCTACCCGCGCACGGCCATATGACGTCGGTTGAAAACCCGAGTCAGTTTGCGTGCGCTTATGTGATGTTGGTTGATGACCGACCAATTCTGCGACGTTTTGAGAACAGAGTCAATGGTCCTGGCTACAGCTGAATGTCGATGCCGGCGTATTGGCTCAGTCCTAATAAATAATTCTCAGACATAATAGGATAACTCCGGTATTCGCCGCTTGAATCCTTGAGAAGAGACTAATTTAGTACAATTTACGTACTCATCTTCGTGCACTGTATAGTCAGTGGCTAGGAGTATTGACCAGAAAAAAACGAGCGAAGTGTGTCTCTGAAGTTATTTATTATATCGTGTCAAGAGCAGCGTAGCAAAGCGGTCGCTGTGGTAATGGTAGCCGATCCCGCAACTTGTCGCTCCTACACTCTGTTTACTACGGCCTGTGTTTTACGGCGTCGCACAATTATAATAATAATAATGATAATAATAGTAAGAATAATAATAAATAAATGATGGAGGAGAATAAACAGTTAATGAATGACTGGATGACAAGAATCGGTAGTTTACGGTTGCCACAGACATCTGCGTACATACATATAGAGACGAACACAGCAATTACGTACGCCCACAAATCCATGGAGCGGGCAAAGGTAAGCGTGTAAAAGAAACAACGGTCAAATCAAGCGGATAGTTATATCAACCTACACTTACCGTATCTTTTTACGCCAGCCGCACTAGGTCTTCAGGATAGACAGGGAGGTGGTGATAGATTTAACCACCTTTGCTGCAGAGCACATGTTCCGTGTTTAAGTATCCGCAAACACAGAGTCCGAAATTTACCAGAAGAGAACGCGGCTACCGTAGACAGATTAACGCGAGCTAACAGACAGGCATACGAATATCTCACGATATTTCGTGTAGGAAATCAGGTAGTCGGAGCGAAGAGCGCACATCTACATGGTTTTTCAACGATGATGGTTATAATAATGAGATGGTACATATTCAGCAAACCAACTCATCGAGTCGGAGGAAATACATGAAAAAAAATGCGCCCCTACTTGTGATTATGGCAACCAATGCCTATTAGATATAATATAGAGAGAGAGAAAGTGTAGGCCATTATTTCCGTCTGCCAAATGTACATCCTTCAGGAGTTGTGGAGTTGAAAAAACAACATAGAACTTGACATTCGGACTTTGAAATGATATTAAAATGCTAACATTGACAAATGACCACACATCGTTTGAACTTTCGATCTACCAAGAACTTAGCTACAAAGGACCCCGCAGTTACACTAGAATTCCAAATAGAGACAGCGTATTTGTTGCTTCGTTATATTCAAAATTTTGTTCTATGACTGCTACTTTTTCATTTGGTAATCGCCATCTTTAAATTATTAATTACATGATATCAGAGAGCTGAGAATGCGGATGACGGCTGTTAGGTTTATATATTATACACAAATGAAGGTCGTTAAATAAGACACGTATAGCCTAATTAATTTAGAACGTAACAATACGGTAATCAGATAAGCAGGAAAAGCTCAGTTCATATTTAGTTAGATGTTTAATTGATACTCTAAGTGATACACTCATAAATGTATCCTTCGCTAAATCAGTCAATAGCAGTTCCTGCCAGAGTACAACAGAACAAATGAGCGAGATTTGAACTGAAAGACATATCGATATTAATAAGATAGAGCACATTAATACGTTTATGTAACCAATGGTACGATAGATGAGGTTCAAAAGACAGCGAACTGACGGAAATTACAGATATATGTGAGAAGAACTGAAGGATTATTTTGAAGGTGTATTGATGAGAAAGAATCACAGACCAGTGTAGGGGTAATCTTTCCATGGTTAAATTTCGGGTGGGCTCGAATCTTTTCTAGAAAACCTATTCAGTTTGTGTCTGAAATGAGATCAGTGTGTCTGATCCAGGCGCTACGGAATACGATTCGATTATTTTAGGCAATAACGAAAAGGTAGCTATTATGTTCGCAACGGATCTTCGCTAGTCTATTCGCATGAAAGAGCTTCCCTTGATATTTGCTGTAAAATTACTTATTAATATTTACTAGTGCAAACGTACGGATCGAGTTTATATTTGTCTTTTTGTCGTAAACGTTAATGGCTGTAGCTAAGCATTGACCTGGATGAGCATTGTAATAACTACTGGCTACTAGTTAATTGCTAAATTAAAATAAGGGGCAAACTATCTTAAATAGTGCTAAGACCTATTAATGGGGTGGGTTTATTGCAGCCGTAATAGGTGTTTTAGTCGATGTTTACTGATTTCTAGCTTACAAATTTCTAGTAAGTTGACTTTAGATGAGTAGGTGATTTCCGTATGCCATGATCGAATGATTTGCTCCTACTGCCTGCTTGATGATGTGTATTATTTATGGGTAGGCATACTAGTGTATGGTTTGGATGAATAATTGATTTCTGTATAAATGATAGTTAAGGCTGCGTGACTAATCAGAGCGAACCTGGTTTTAAGCAAGTTATTGAATGGGTAGTTAACACTTAACTATCCATTATCTAGTAACTAATTGTATGTTAATTCATTAAAATTGTTATTGGATCAAATTGAATATGCTACCTTAAACTTACATCAGCTGGAGAACCAATTTTGTGCTGCTCTAATTTTACGTTCTTTCCTTCCTACACTACACTATGATCTTTTAATTGCTGTTATATCTATAAAAGCGACCAAGGCTGTAGTAAATAAAATAAGTAATAGGTAGGCATGCGGCTGTCGTGGTTCTCGCATTCGGATTCATTGTAGCAGACGTGTTGATACCTTGAATTTCGTTACGTTTGGTTGGAGGTCCTCTGTTGATTATACCCTCTAGAATTGACTGTTGCAAGTATCGTTTTAAGCAGAACAATTCGAAGTGTCGATACGAGAAAAATTTGGATAGAATAATACTAATGCAAATTCAGAAGTCAACAAAATGGGTATAGCAGTACGGCCATTTTTCGATGTTTTGATGTTTTGATTGTCATCCGCTACTTCACACAGTCGAACTACAAGTGATTGGGTCTGACCTCGTTTTTGGTCAAAACTGACGTGAGCTGTAGATGCTTCGGCAGACGGATGTAATGGCGTGCATGGATGGTGAAGAATTATGTTTATCAGGAGGGCGGTATTCGAAGCAAGCGTGAAGACACAGTTAGTAGGGAGGCACGGAAAAGCAGTTCAGATTTTCTGCTAGAGGAGTGTTAATCTGTTTAGCGTTCGTCGACTTTCGCTGGGTTCAGTCGAAGCTAAGCATAGGGAAGAAAATTGACGGGATTCATCGAAGTCTTACACCACGCGCAAACCAATGCCTAACAGAAACGAAAGGGAAAAGAAAATTTCGTGTTTAGAATTTCGGACTAGCAGCAGCGAGGAGTTGGTAGAAACAGGCCTTAAGGCCTGAGGGGAGCGAAAACATATGGGGTGCTTGTAAATATTAATATAAAGAGCGACAACAAATATTGATAATGCTAATGAAGCGACGAAAAACACCGTGGACACTGAGAACATATAGAGTAAACGAGTGGGTCGAAGCACAGACAGGTTGAAGTAAGGAAGCAGAGGCAAAGAAGCAGGGATGGTAATGTAGCTTATAACATACAATTCTGGTGGTCTGTTTGACTTTGTTTCTGCAACGGTCCGATCCGACGTCAGAAAGAGGCAGCACTTGAACCTTTCGCCGATAAAAGCCGAATACGTCGGAGCACAGTGACCACATAACGACGACGCCATCAGTAATGATGATGGTAACATAAACGGTATATGGACCTCGATGTGGATTACGGGTGTGATCTTTTAGAGGTTCTCCGAGCACACACCAAGTAAGACTTAAGATGTGGGTCGGTCTTTAATAAGCGTGAGAGATACCAAGGACATTTCCGGGCTTCTAGATAGAATGCGTGTATAATAGAGTTGAGTCGAAGTGAAAAAAAAACGAGCAACATAATGGAACATACAGAGATGAGGAGGGGAGGGATGTGGTAAAAATAAATTTGGGCAGAGAATAGGATCAGGCCGTTTATTCACGCGAGCTGGGCAGAATCGGCCTATCACCAGGAAAGCAAGATATGACGCAATGAATGATATCGGCCATGATAATAACAATAATGATAATAATAATCATAATAACGACAACAATAATGATAATAATACTAAGGATAATAATAATAACAACAATAATAAAATGAAAAACTCGACGATAACAACAACACCAACAACAACAAACACGAATACGTGGAAAAGCTGTACATGAAATGGAAGCGGAGAAAAATAACGAGAGAATGCGGACGTGAAAGAAATATACGCGAGCGTACAAGAAAAAAGATGAACAATTGTGTGTGGATGCGAGGACGTGAGATGAGACAAAAATGAAAAAGTAAAGATGAAAATAAATAAACGAAACTGAAGGAGTCGTAAAGACTGCAAAGAATAAGACGAGAAATGAATCGTCGTTTAAGAGAGAGTTCTTTGTTCTCAGTTGTAGATAAAGCAGTGTAGAATAATTAGGCTTCTGAATTGTTGATGCATACGTTTGTTGAAATGCTAGATTTATATTTTGGGGATGTTAGGGCTATTGATAATTAAAGGCTAACATTTATGTGTGCTACATTTTGCTCTTTAAAAGGCTGAGAAGTGGCGCTGAAGCAATATTTATGTCTTAACCGAACAGCGTAATGGTGTTTATATAGCGACGTATATGCCGAAGTATAATCACGTTTGCCATGTAAGCGACGAACTTTCCCTAAAAGCTTTTACTAAAATGACGAATTAGATTGTCGTCGCGTTATTGATGAGGCACTTATCTTTCTTCTGTCGCTATGGCTAAGCTTCTTCAAATTAAACAAAGAAAAAAGCACGGATAAAAAGGTGGTAGACACAACTGCTTTACTGAGTAGCTTTTGCATAAGTTCTGTGGAGGACTAGCAAATAAGCATGTAAAATACTAATTATTCTAATAGCATGTCAATTTTCTTCATATGCTGGCAAATTGTCAATTTTAAACTAAATTATTTATAACTAGATATTTTTGGTAAAACGCTAGCTTCATTCCACTCGGTAGATGTAATAATTGATCGACTTAGTTCATATCACCTCTTTGCATCAAGGCGCTTTGGCCGTTGCTTAAGATATATGTGTATTCTCTACACTATACACAGCCTATTCAATTCTACAATACATTTTCCGTCCAAATTATCGTATGATAAAGTTTTTACTATTCTTTGTATTGATATCACACACCGTTTTAGGATCAGATGCTCTTACATTTTGTGTGATTTTCCATACCCTAAATTCGACCCGTTCTCTCGCATATCGCACTTTTCGATCCCATCTAGTTTTAAATTGAACCCTTTGATTGTTTTTATGCACGTCAACCATCTGTCTTAATTCTCTCATGGTATCAAAGCTATCTCGTAGTTCTTGCTTGCTAAAGAGAGGTTGGCCAAGCACACGCTTGCCTTCCACAGATTACTTCGCATAGTGAAATGTACAGTCGAGTATGGTGCGGCTTAGCAGAGCTATTTATAATGCTAAAAGTAATCGACCGATTTCATTAATAAAGGTACCCTTCTTATTACTTTTTGTAAAAGCTTACGATAAGATGTTTGGATAAATGGAGAATAATTTCAGCATTTCAAAAGCACATCAAAGTATTAAAATAAGAGGGTACATCGGGAGTGGATGGTATGAATTGGTGAAGAAAGCGGAGCAAAATTCCTTTCTATTCGAGGCTTATTATTCTAGATTTGTTGGAGTAGCAGAAGAGTTCGCATCGAAAACACCTAAGAAAATAGCCAAATATGCCAATCTAGCTGTAAGCATTTCAATCATATGTTTATTTCGAGGGCGGGTTAAATGTTTTCGTTCGTAAACTTTACACTATCCTATAATACTCGTTGCCGTAGATACATTGAACTACACGTTCTATGTATATTGTATTTATGCTGTTTATACATGAATACGTAGCCTATGGTGTTATTTGCCGACGTTAAGTGTAAAAAGTGTGACTTTTATTAAGCCACACTTTATTTATAAAAATAGTATCTTACACAGACAACCAGTAACTTATAATCTGCTAAGGATTTAGATGGTAAGAAGATTCCTTGACTTTCCTGATAATACCTGATGCGAGCACACTCACTGGATACGCTTTAAGTACATGGTGCCTTATTGGTTTCATACATTTAACACAATGTTCCCTTAATCCTGTTGTCTTACAGCGTTTTGAGTGAGGACGATGCTCCAAGGTAATACCGTTACCGAACAAGGAATAGACAGCTAGAAAATTCACTTTTAGAGATACGTACCAACGAGTTTCCTGATATGACTCTAAATAGAGAACTTATTCATCAAAAGAAAAATTAATTTCATTATATTGCTTTGCGAAGTACAAAAAAAATCGATTCTTCTTTTTATAATAAAAATTAGTCAGAAGGTGTGATTGTCAGTGTCGTCGAAGGCATGCGCGATGTATTCCTCTTCCACCGTCACTCATTTACGTTAAATGTGTACATTCCTAAGCGAAGGTACTTTACCTTTAGAGTTATAATAAACGAAAGAAAATATAACTAATTCTGTGTATCCATTATCAATTTTCACACTCACATTTTTCTTCACTTGAAAAACTGTATCCGACTTCCCTGGTTTTATTAGCAGATTGCGAAAAAATTTCAAAAATTCCATTAAGTTTGTAATTCGGATCCTTACAAAGTCTGATTGCAAAAATCGAGTTTTCAAGTTATTCATTTTATAATGCATGTGAAATAGAAAAAGATATTAAAGTTTAGACGTGTATATTACAAGCTTATTAAGAAACAATTTTACCTAATCTACTTCTGTATCTCATAGATTCAACTTTTCATCTTTCTTCGAGTCCGAGGTTATCATGTGTGAAGTTTTGTTCCAGGAGACATGTGGATCATACATGTTATGTCCGCGTTCTAAATAATATTCTAATAATTATTTCATTCATTTTGGCATTTGATAAAATTAATAAAACAGCAATCGGTAAATTATTTCGTCAAAATTAAGTTATATAAGGATAATGTGAAGGAATTGCTTAGACATGGTGCTCCATATCTAGGTAAACATATTTTGCCAATATACACTTATTAATTGACAACGACGGCATTTTCTATCGTTTGTTCGATATTATATACGATATCAGCTTAACACACGTACAAATCAAACTGACTGCACACATCATTCAAGTTTTTGCTATTTGGGCAATAGGTTTGCTTTGTTGCAATGTGCTTTGTGTTCATCTTGTAGTTCAATTGCTTTGCACGTTGGAACTATCCAGTTGTTGTCAACAGATGCACTCAATACTTTACAATTTATATCTTTTTTATAAAATATAAATTATCGGTATACGGATGTATAGGGTTGTGAGATAATATCTAGATGATCAGAAGCAGAAAATACCGATCAGTTATTAAAAATGATGTTTATTTTTTCTTACTTAGCATGTATGAGTACGCACATGAAGACCACTTTATTCAGTTGAGAAAAACGCGGTTTCTGTATGATTTGGACGAGCGCCACAGGGTTCAACGTTCCATTGAGTTCGATATCATGCCGCTGCGAATTCCGTTGATTTGCATATGTAACCAAATAGTAGGAACGGCCATCAAGTGGTCGTCGAGGTGTAAATATGGCCGTCCGCGACAATGTGCACGTGCCAAGTGATGTCAATGGAAAAACAGAAGAGAATCAAAACGTTATCCAATTACAGAAAATATTCTCAGGTTAGATTATTTAGATTATTAGATTATTATATATATATATATATAGATAGGTGATTTAGGAAGCACGGAGAGTGGTTTGAGAGTGAATTAAATTGCTTGGTGTTATATGGCGGGTAAAAAAGGTCGGTACACACAAAACTGAGCAAATGGAAGGAAATGATGTATAGTCGAAATTCTCTTTGAGCCGTCTCGTAAAAATTTGTTTTACTGAAAGATTTCATGCTTTCTAGTAGTGACCGACCCAATATTACTTAACTATGTAAAGAAGGTGTTGTCATTAACTTTTAACGAATTAACGACGATCAGACAACGAAGCAATATATATATTTGCTTGTACTGTACTTGCTTTTTTACACGTACTTGTAAAAAAAGGAAGTACAGTTGTTAATTCACCCGTGGAACTTCACAGAACAAGTAAAAAATCGATGAAAACTGCAATCTATTACGCAATCTTGCCAAAACTATAACCGATTAGGGTATTTTTACTCCTTCGAAAATGTACGGGTGTTTTATGTTGAACGTTATATCAGATTTTTGTCTTAGCAATTCAAGTTCATAGGCATGATGGATGTCAAGATTTGTTGAGTTAAGCATGTTCTGCCCTAACTCTAAATCCCTTTGTGATTTTGTGTGAGATGTCAATAACATTCCTGTTTATGATCCACATTTTTTTTAGAGCTTCGGGACAGGACAGGAGCATTTTGCCAGATGCTGGAGTCACTCCAGTTGGATATTTCTGGTCGTGAAACGAAAGATGGCCTTTCATGGCTTGAACTAAAGAATCACATGCTGCTTAGCTACTTGATCGACATAAACGATGTCGTCCAGAGCAAACTCAAAGGTGGTTATACGCAATTCAGTATTATTAATGTTTCAGTGTTTTGAGTTTTATATCCGTTATGCGTTGTTCCAGGTAACTAGCCCCTTCCAACTCAAAAAGTTATATATGAATAGTTACGACAATAAGTTCCAACTCAAGGTAAATTGTGTCTACCTTTAGTTTCGAACATAGGTCATTTTGTATATTCTTAAGACAGACACGTTATCCCTGCATTTTCGCAGGAACAGATAAAATAAGCTAAATAGTATCGATTCTTCGTTCCAATGAACTCAGAAAGAATCAGTAGCTCTTTTAAAGTTATTTGTAATTAGGTTTTAGCACACCTTGCTATGAACAGATATTAAGGTTTTCACTTGATGCCAAAACGCCATGGCCAAGTTTCTTGCCTTTCATATAAAAAACTGCAGTTGATAACTCGTTCCTAACACGGATAAGGATCAATTTTTTAAACTGTAAACAAGATTTGAACAGTTTTTCTAAATGGTTAAACTTTTGTTTATTCTTAGCCTTTTTTCATGTGCGCTAATATCAAAATTAACGACCAGGTTAAAAAAATGTTAATCTTGAAGCCGACAACTGCCGTCTGATCTGCTGATGGGCGGAGATCTTACGACACGAAGAACGCTACCTTAATCTTACTTGTTCGAGAGTTGCAATAAATTAAAACGGTCTAATAATACCAGTCTTGGTAATCTTCAGATAGATATATATATATACATATATATATATATAAAGCTTTCACATCTCGTTGTTGAAGCAGCACGAACGTTTCTCACCTGAGATAAAGGAAGTAATAGTGACTTATGTGTGTGCCATATTCAATGATTTCTACTTCAACCATTACAGGCAAATCGATTGCCGAAAGCCCCTCAATCCGTCGCTTAATAGAATACCGAACAGTACTTGAGCGAATGCGACCTATTGATCAAAAGTTGAAATATCAACTACAGAAGATGCAAAAGATTGCAGCCACTGGAAAGGTAGATTTCTTGTATTATTAATGAGATATCAGTTGTTAAATCGACGAAAATTGATAACAATCTATGAAATGGATTAGGAAAATCCTTACTAAACTAGATAAAAAATTTGACTTATGCTTGGGAGATCGCGGATTCTAATAAAATTACATGTCGCTTTTCAATTAGTTTCTATTTATTATGAGATTTGCCAGATACTTATTAAATGTAGTAGAAAGACATGCGATGGCATCGCGGCAAATTCCGTATCGTTTATTGATCTTAATAAAGAAAATCTGCCTTCCTATTTAAAATCGAAACAACGAGAGTAGACTCCTGGATACGGTTTCAATGAAGCCTAACCATATTTAATCCTTTTTATTGGGATTAATTCAGATTTGCTATAAACAATAGATCAAATTTGTTCTAAAAAGGGGAATATCTAGATACTACGACGGAGAAAAAGGAAGAGAAATTTATTGGCCTCTTTGATTCAATTCCGCACGTGTGGTTACCTAGGTTGACAAGAACGATCCACTGAGATTCAGAGCCAATCCCGACGCGTTTGAATTCGACAACAATATCAACAGCGGTAACGATCAAGAGGCGGCAAAGGATGAAAAAAAGACAAATGATGCTACCAAAAATGGTACGTCAAGGTCTAAAAGCGGTTCTCCAGGAGCTGCTAGCGTTAACAGGGCAAAGCCCTCCACGGGAGTTTACGTCCCACCAAAGTTAACGCCGCTGCAGTATCTTGAAGATGAGACGCATGAGGCTCGTCGAGATAGACAAACTACGCAGGCCAAACGAAGGGCACTTAGTTCCAGTCTGATTGCAGAACTTCAGAGGGAATTCCACGAAGGTCCAATGGAGGTGCGCGAAGAATATAACCCCCACAAGGAGCGGCTGAATAAGCTCAAGCGGGAGCGCGAACGATATGAAGAAGATAACTTTGTTCGATTACAGGTAAAGTTGCTTTGATATGTTGATGGGGAGTTTGAAGCTCTATCATGGAGAGATCGGTATTATTAGATCTTTGTTTCTAAATTAGCCAATTGAATTATTCTGTACTTGTTACAAGCAGTCTCACATATGTTCAAAGAGCTGCAGTCATCATGTTACGCTAGTTGCAACGGTGTTCGCATATAACTAGTGTCTCTAAACTGAAAATTTCCATGTACTCAAATATGAAAGAAACAAATGTTGTATAACATTTTTTTGATTTGCTAATCGATCAATAATTGATTTGTACCTTTTGCTTCCCTGCAACAGGTGTCTAAACAAGAGAGGCACGCTGATCGCTTGCAAGGTTTCGCTGCTTTGGATGATATCACGGAATTTGGAGGACAGGGCGATCCTGATTTTGTAGATCAAGGTCCATCAAAAAAGCGACGAAAAGCTAGTTCCAAGAAATATAAAAAAAAGTGGGGCCAAAAGGGTTTTAGAGGAAAAAAAAAATAAAGAGAGAATGACATTAGAACAAGACATTCTATCATGTTGTTTGGACTTTTCAGTCAATACCAATATTTAAAAAATATTAACATTAAACAAGTTCCTTTATAAAATAAAACAACGAACAAACCACTGATTTTCTACGAAACAGTAATATATAAGGAATTACTTAGAAATTAATGTGTGCGATCCTTTTCTTTATCTTATTGGGTACATCGATGAAGGTGCAATGTTTATAATAGTATAATCTTCAGATGTTACTGTTGTACTTTGTAGCAACCAATGTGTTGCCCTCTTGATATACCAGCTTGTATGTAGTCGTAATATTATTACCTTCTAGTAAAAATGGTAGCAACTTAAGGGTGGTCGCAACACCTAGAATATCTGAAGAATAAAGCTGTACGAACGCATTTATACTGTACACGGTATCTTCGTGCAGGGTTTTATCGCAACAGGAAAGCTTCATGGAGGGCTTTAATATCCGTGGAGATGCTTTCCCTGTCAATAAATGGGCTTCGCTTCTTCGTAGAGCCATGATTATCGGGTGGCGGATCGGTGGGAGTTCTGAAAGCAATATTCTAGTCCGGTTTTGCATTTACGAGCGATCATTTTAAATGAGTACTCGTGAAGATGCTGTGGGTAGAACCAACACGTTCTCCTTACCTCTTGCCAAGCCATAAACAACACTAAAAGGGCTACATGAAAGCTATTTTTGTAGATAACGATGAAGAATCATTAGAGCAAATAATCGGCAAAAACCTCTCAAAAAGCTATTTTAATTGAACGTACCTCAGCTAATGCCAGAATTCTGAAAGACCGAAATCTTTTGATTTCGGTCAGAGGTTTTTGAAGTTTTACATAAACAGACGTAAAAGGAGATGAGGTACTCAACTAAAACACTACGTTTATTCTTAATATAGACAAACCAAAAGTTGTCTGTGACTCTCAACCCTCGTCCTACTGTAAGACCTTCACACCACTACTACCTACTGTTTGAAAATCTTAGATAGTCTTTAGGTGACGGATAGGTATTATTCATTTATTTTTGACTTGACTCGGGCAAACTAGAATAACTTCAACAAACCTATGTGAATTACAAATCTATTTTTGGCTTTCACGCGCAACGCAAACTAAAAGAGAACTGCTACCGTGTATAACAAGTACACGAAATAATAAGCCAATATAATAATTATCAGATTATTTTAGGTCCGACTACGCGATATTGTTTGCATTAAAAAATCGTGGTCAACACGTTTTTTCTGTTTTGTTATTTTCAAGAAAATTCGTTTTGAAGTACAAATCTCTACATGTATTAACAAATTATATATAACTGATCTGGGTGGACTTTCAAACTGAATAACTTTTGAATTACGGAAGTTATGCGAAATACTTCTTCTTATCTTCTGTAAACTTTTAAGTTAAGTTTACTTCAGGAGAAGTGAGTTTATCCCCGTGATAGCTTAGTAAGTAACGTATTTGGGGACACATTGTGGTCTAGGTTTTAATTTGGGCATAAACAGACTTAATTTCGTGCTAGGAGGCAACCCTCTGGTGGAATGCCTAACGGCGATACTGAGCGTAGAAGTCCAAAAAGACGTGAATTTAAAAGAAAAAGCATCCTTTAATCTTGAAAATCAACGCTTAGTGATTAAATTTAAGGCAGCGAAAATCTAAAATTGGTAAGGGCATAAGGCAAGGAGGTTCCATGGGAAAGAACAATACGTGAATAGCGCAAACTTTTCAAGAACAGAGATTGAAGCGTTGAGCGCCATTGAAAAAATGACTTATGTGATTAGAATTAATTGCCGTACTTGCTACGAACATCAGGGTTATCTGCTATTATGAGATAGTCGCCGAAAAGGAAACAACTAATGTAGCCTACTATCTAACGGACTAATTACGGAACAACTGACGCACGCTGTCTGGTTACTTGATTACAATGTCAGACCTCACCGTTGTACCTCAATTACTCCCTAGATTAAGATCCAATGTTGGCTTTTACGCGCTTATTCTCCTGATCTAAATTCGTGTGATTACGAGATTCTCCATGCTCTAACAAGGGGCAATTATTAAGCAAGCATATCTCACTATCGATACTTTGAGAAGCTATAGGCAGTGAAATTGCATATGGGAACGTGAATACTAAGTATATGGCCATCCAGAAGCTGCCAGGGTCCGGGCAAGTGTGTGAAATATGAAAAAACTTCCAATCTATCCCAACAATTTCAAAATTTCAAAGCAGGCCGGGTTCGGTTGTGACAGTACATCCGTCTTAAGAGACCGCTAATAATTTAATACAAAAGAGATTAACAATATAACAACAACTCAATTTTATTTCCTATAAAAATAACCATTATATGATAGAGGAGTTAAATAGAGAAATAGATATACAACGACAGTATGCTCTATTAATCAATTAAATAATATATAGATTGTTTAATAAACGTAAAATGAATTATTGTTTAGTCTTAAATATGCCCGATTCACACTCATCTGTAACCCATGATACAGCGTATAAAACTACGCAGAAGGTTTCAAAACGGCTTGATTTGTGAGAACAGAATCGCAGTGAACTATCCAGATTGGCAACAAAATTGCGCGTAATGCCTAAACTTTACGCTGCTGTCCAGTGATTACTAGTTTGTTCGCTTTGTCCAATGGGATGCTGGCAGTAGTTATCACGTGCATGCATGCAGGTTTCATAGGCTTCCAAATTAACCAAATATTCTTTTTTTAATATTTTGGTAATTTCCACATTACATTCTCAGTGGCTAGTTGCAAAGTTCTCAAAGGGCAACTCCTCTTCGCAAATTCGTCACCACTGATCTGCGAATGTAGGTGCAGGTATTCTATCAACTTGCAGGCTCCTATTAAATTTTTTACGTACTGTCATGTAATAGAAGCCTACCTTAGGTACCATTATTTCATGCAGTATAAGTGATATGTTGGATCTTTTATTTAATTTTTTTTAGCTGATCTGGATGATCATGTCAGACTAATGTCACGTACACTGTTTCAGTACGCAGGATGTATGTATAAACAAAAAGGATAAACAGGATGAGACGCAGATGTATTGAAAAAAGTCAGCCATTACCTGAATTCTATTAATTGCTAGAGATGTATGTAAGTATAAAACTTCATTTTTTGCCATCTTCGTTGTGACAAGATGTGCGAAAGGCTTAAAGGAAAACACGTCGTATACCAGAGATGGGGGCTGAGGAGCCATTACATTAGAATTCATAGTTTTCTAAAGGAGCATGCGTATTAAAACGAATATAAATCTTGGGGTGTTATTTACCTTTTCTGTAAAATGAACGTATGCACAATTTATGTAGACAACGGTGGGTAATAACTTAACAATGTTCCTACTATATAACATACTGCTGTTGGGTTTCCATTGTAGACATTCGGGCTTGTCAGTCTCGAGAGGACCTTTGACTTTTGCAAATTAAGAGATGGAGTTATTCCCTAAAAGACTATTCCAACAAGAAGTGAGCACAGCTTACTACACGAATAAATAGTGAAATTGTATATATAGTTAACTCAATATAATTATCCTTGAAGTTTGATCAACAGTTCGAATGCTGTTTGAATCACGATTGCTCAAAGGCATTTTCTGCGCAGTGTGGTCATCTCACAGCTTTGCATGCTCCCCGATACCGTTGGGGACTGAAAGTGGCATACCCGTATAAGTCTCTAGGAAATTAACTATATGGTCCAACACCTGTAAACAAGGCAAAAAATAAAATAAAATATACTGGTAGTCAACAACCATTATACCTTAAAGATGTCAAATGTATACAATATGCATTACAGCAGCAATATTTTGAAGGACAACATATGTAAACAGTCTCTAGACCAGGTCAACGAAGTATACCAATATTACCTTTTCAGGCTCATCAAGATGCACCGTGTGCGTTCCCTGAACCATAACAAGCTTAAACTCTCGGCAGTTTTCCTCGTACAGCTTAACGAACTTTTCGTAGGAGAGTCCTTTCAAATCTCTGTGAGTTTCCCCGGTAGCTCTCAGTACGAGTAAGCGACCCTACAATATGTCATGGAATCAAAAGGGTGGACGTGTTCATTACCAGGTTGACCCTAACCGTGCAATATATGTCACTACGAATCAATGCACTTGCAAACTTAAACCCGTTGACACAGACTCTAACGGAGTCCGTGCCAACGGTCAAAAAAACTGGCAGACTATTCTGTTAAACTATTATAAGCAAATCCGGCGGACTTTCGAATAATTTTTTAAACAGTTGAGCCAAAATGGTGATTTTTCAATATTTCTTGAAGATACTTTTTACTTTTACATGTTTGTGATAGCACTCTAGGGACTTCTGGACAACTACCTACCTACACTTCACGTTCCCGTATGTAATTTTTCTATCAATGGCTTCTTGAAGTAAAGCAACACTCGGTTATACTTCTTCACCAATTGCCCTCTTCAAAGCATGAAAAGCCCTGTAATCACTGAGATTTATATTGAGAAAATAGTCAGGTTGAAGCTAATGTTGAATATTCCTTTGCTTAATCCAAGAAGTGCTCTGAGATAATCAGTTATCACCAAGTAACTAGACTCACGCTTTTGATTGCCGTGCCAGCGGTCTCTGAGTTCCTTAAGACACTCGAGATAGCAAGCTGCATTAATTTTTTCTTTTTTCACGATCATTTCGTAGAGACAGATGTCCCTGATATCTATTGTAAGTACTTCTACCATACTGCGTTCAACTGCGGTACTGCCACTGAATTCGATTTCTGTGATTTCGAGCGCGATGGCATTCGTTTACCTAGTTCCTCTTCAGCTGACGGTAGAGATTGCAATATACTTCATCTATAATAACCGCTTTTTCCAGCCGAGGTTTTTATTAAAGGTTCACAAACTTCGCGTAGAAGCCACCATACACATTTCCAATTGGCCTAAAGTCGATTCACGAGCACTTATTTTTGTACTCAGTTTCCGCATTTCCATTATTTGAATTATAGTTATGTAATACATGCGTGTAGAATATGTGAGAAAAAAATTCTACCCTACAGGGCCTTAGCTCTGATTTTGCAAAAGACTTTGTCGGCTGTGGCAACGTGTTTCTGTCTTTCGGGTTATCTGGTCATCTCCTCACTAATCAGGACTCCAATATCCATTTTGAAACATTTGTACCATTGAGGCGCCGTGGTTTCGCTTAAGGCCTTCTTGCCTAATGTCTTTACCTACCTAAAATAACGTTCGAAAGACGGTGACGTTAGAGGAGTAAAACATTGGCCACTGAACGTTGATTTTCAAAACTAAAAAAATGCTTTTGTTCTGAACTCATACATAAGTACAACCGGTTTTGATTCACAAGTTTTTAGAAGTGTTTACCAACAAAATTTCGCCGCGAAGCGGCGCGTAGCTCAAAGGTTATTCAGTTTTAAAGTCCACCGAATTTGCTTATAATGGCTTTACGTATCTTCCTTCTTCAGCAGTATATGTCGATTCAGCTGTATTGATATATGCACCTCTAAAGTATGAAGGACGCTCAAGAGAAACTGCCAATGAGTCCTGTACTGATCAAACATGGATGTTGTATAACGTCATGACTATGAAAAGTAGTATAGAAAGCGGCAACTGCCATTACTACACGTAGTAAAAGAAGCTTTGCTTACCTGATATCGTTTAAGAATTTCGTATTGATCTTCGAAGGAGTAATTTAGAGTTCGTGTATATTTGAGTCGAGGATCGGTACGTAATACCTGTGAAAGTGTGTTGAAGAATTAAAACTTGTAAAAGTCCATATCACTTGTGTATGATGGATCTAAGAGATTAAAAAAAGCTCAAATATACGAAGAAAAGAAGTGTCATGTCAACTAAATGAATTATGCTTCGAGTACCATGAAAGGCATGAAAATACCGCACAAGGGTTTACTTGAAGAAAAATTATTATTATTGTTTATAGAATTAATTAAAAAGGACCATATATCCAAGTTTCCAGTGAAGTAAGCTCTTGCAGGTCTGCCAAATGCAAATGATGATCCTTCTAGATGAAGATCTGGTTGTCCGTTAGGCCTTGGTTTCTTCCTTAGAACCACCCGTTTCGATTTCTTTGTTTGTCTTCTCCAGTATTAATGTACAGACGCCACTAGTGTGCAAAAATTGTCTTTTGTAGTCGCATGGTATTCGATACTGAGCAAGTTAGTTACTAACGTTAGGCTGCAGTTCGCTGTTTGTTTTAGAAAGTTCATGAAACGCCCGAACTTCAAATAGTCGTCATCAAACTCAGACCAGAGCGGAGATCTCGGATACCGTTTCCAAACCTAACGAAGAACTCTTGAACGGCAGCGCCGTCACCGTACGCAAAATAAAATCTGCGCTATCTTGGCAGCGTTTTGGCCATGGCGAAATTTATCGTATTTAAAGTGTAAAAAATACACTTCTTTACTTAAATCATCAATCTTTGATGAGCTCCCTCGGGCTGAGATTGCGCTCCAGTTACATATAATATACAGTTACAGCTGATAGAGCAGAGAACGTGCTTTTGAATGGTGTATCAGAAGTGACCAATAAGTGAGGAAAACTGGAAAAGGGGGGTTTTTGAAAAAAAAACGTGAGAAATTGTTACCTTATTTAATATTAAGTGCCCGTTTACCTACATGCATGGCATATATCACACGACAAGTGTGGTTGAATAAAGAAATGTGTATACATTTTGTAATATATATGTAACATTGTTACGTACCACTCCTCCTTGATAATCGACTATTGCTCTTCGCATTATAATTGCCGCGCTGTCCCTCGCTAAGGAATCAGGGGTTGTCAGCATCCGGCGGTTGACGACTTCTTCGAGATCCTTGTATACGGGGGGTTGACCTTGCTTCTTCTCAAATGAGAGCATGCTACCCACTGTCATTGCAGTCATCTTCATTGGGGTGCAAAACACAACAATAAAGGAAATATAAACATTGCAGATCAATAACTTTTTTGCTCTTTAAATTAAGTAAATGAGCTTTTCGAAGAATATAATGAGCGACAACTATGGGAGAGTTGAAGAAAATTTGATAATTTCACCTCAGGTAGTGATTTGAGAGAGCAGTTCATGATGGTGATGATGTCGAGTGAAACAAAATGTGTAATCAGTGAAGGGAAGAGTCCAGCTAACAACAAGGAGATCATTGCGCCCATTGAGTGGCCTATAAGCGCGAAGCCCTCCCAGTGTAACTGGTCCGCTAACTGAAACAGATCAAAGTTTCATGGGTCTAACAGTCAATAGACGGCACCAATTCTTGAAAAATGTACGAAAAATACGAAGGTTATTTTATAGCTTTCCTAACTTCGTAAATAACTCTGCATTAGGATAATATATATTACCTTAATATAGAATATCACACCGTAAAGTAAGAAAGCAGAGGAAAGATATCATTACAATCGTTAACTTTTTCTGAAAGGATATCCACCTTAATGTGGCCATCAGACGGTTACAAGGGGAGCATGAGAGTAAGTACACAGAGCGTAACCTCATCGATAGCATTGCTAAATCAACGTGTGCACTGATAAAAACGATGCATAACGATTGCCTCCAATAAAAATCGTTGGAAATACGGTCTAAAGCGACGTATGCTCCATAGCATTTTGCAAGTAGTTAATTTATTACTTACTCTCTTGAGATCAATGGCGTGCTCAAGAATAGTGTATGTACATCCGAGTGGGCGATGGCTGGACAGTCCATGGCCGCTCAAATCCACCGAAACGATGTGCAGGTTCGAGGGAAGTAGCGGAAATAACTGCGACGAGACCAGAATACAGCAGAAAACACAGCAGTTCACTCATAGTCATCTCAAACACTAGGGTCGTTACAGTTTACCATGATATTTTTTCGTGAAGTCACTGCTTCGGAAGCGCGCCCGCATTTCTAATTACCAGAGATCATCTGAACGATCGTGTAAGCGTTTGCGAAATGAAGTCAGTATACAGGCTTGGGTCACATTTTGGAAAGCAACTAACACTTGCGAAATATTTAGGTTGCAGTTTACGCACAACTTTTAAAGAAAAATTGCTCGTGTAAATTGGATATAGCATATACAGCGTGACAAGTATAATCACATAACAAACAAGCAATTATTTTAATACCTACATACCTTAAGAAATGTGTTTGAGTTGTCCATCCAGCCGTGAACAGCGAGCACTTTCCTTGACGAGCTCGGATCTCCCCACTCTTGTGCAGCCATCTGTCCCCAAGGCATAGGAAATTGCACCTCTTTCGATTGACGCATTTTGTTCAGTTCAATTTTGCTCAAACTCAAATGATTCTTCAGTTTTTTATGGCTGTTTATTTGGACGCGCAATCAAACAGTATCAAGCAGCAGGCTCTTCTTAACCGTAGTACACTTTCTTACAGCCAAAGACTTCGTACAGACAAACCTGTCCGTAATAGACTCCTGACACAATTGAAGCAGCACTATCGACACAAGAGTAAGGAACATCGTGCAAAATAACTATTAAAATTATTATTATTAAAACGATGACTAATAATCAGTTGATTCTTCTTCGTACTAAAATCATTGTCTCTGTAAGCCGACTTGTTGTTTTTACTGATATGACACTACTACATACGTTTTATTTCCAGTGTGTTCCAGTGGCATTAATGGTAGCAATTGCTGCTACACTGGACCGAAAGCAACCGTAATAGTAATGAGCATATAGGGGAATCGCACTATGATTGATTGTTCATTGCTTATACTTTTTTGTTCCATCAACATTATCTGCATACATTGACCAGATCAAACGCCTGCACGCAGTCCGTATATATGAATTACTAAAAAAAGAATCATTCGAGGAGCGTGAAAAAGAATACACAGTTGAGTTGCCTCAGTCACTGCAATCGTTCGATATCCTATTCAAAAGATATGATTACGTGTGATTACTCACTGTAACGATAGGTTTATATTAAGCGGAAGAGGAGATTTTTTGATTCTACATCTTATAAGACAACCATTTAGCCTTAGGCTCTGATTGCTCTGCAACATGTGGCCTCAAAGCGATATAAATAAAGCTCATAAGATTTCAAGGTGCATGTTCCTTATGTAGTTTATCATGAATGTAGCATCTTAAAATACTTTAATAATTTAGTTTCATTTAGAAAATGCATACCTATATCAACAAGCAGCTTGTAAAAGTGACTGCCCACTTTCTGATCCCTCTCTTCTACCCCTAACCTTATTAGTTTTATAAAAAAAAATCATTCAATAGCATAAGCACATTTGAACGAAAATACAAATCTAATCGAAGAAGTACGCCGTGGTTTCGTCGTGTTTTCCGTCTGGTACTTTTTAAGTCGTCAGCCAGTACTTCAAACAAAGCGAAAAAATGGCTGAAACATTGTGAATGAAATAATTGCAGCTAAATTTAGCTGACTGCCATTTTTTGCTCATTTCCAAAATTGATCTAAACCTTCTGCTAGAATAACTGATAATAAGCAATACAGGATCGACTCGTGGAAAAATACTGTACCGCTAAACAGTACCTGTGTAATTTACCAATACTAAAGTATGACAATCTAGACCAAACTTTACCTCCGCCGTAAGCTAGTATGTTATCGACCCCTTTTATACTATCGCCACCTGGTCGTTGTTGCACATTCTTGTTGAGTAATTTGCTTATCAACGTAGCTGAAGCCCGCAATAGATTACACAAACGTTTCTACGTTAATATCATTTATGATCGCGTGTCAACAGATCCGGAAATGCAAAAAAAAAGACAGCTCACCTCAATAAGCCCACAATAGTAGTGATGGGAAAATTTAAATAAAAGGCGGTCGTTTTTGATCCGGCAAAATTAAATGAATGCTTCTTAGCTGTAAATGTTTCTAAAAAATAAAATTTGTGCAGGACATAATTATGAGGAAATCATAAGATGACGCAAATTTTCCTTCAAATAAAACTTCAAAAAATTGAATCAGATATCGTTAGCCTAAACTTATACTATGGACGGGAAATTTTCTGTGTGGTTCAAGATCCTTTGCCGGGATATTTCAACACGGATAATGTAACATCAGCACAATAAAATACTGTTTTGTAACGCTAATAAATCCTGATTACCTAGTGGTGTTAGTTACACCGGTTTTTGGAGAATGCAATTGTAGCTCGAATAACATACATATCTGAATACTTGATTTGTTCTATATTCAGTAAAAACTTTATAATTTCTAATTCTGGGGCACACGGTGTCCCAAAAAATGTATATTCTGTTTAAAGGATCATCATTTTCTGATTGCTTTTTTCAGAATGTAATTAAGTGAAAATAATGAATGGACCGAGGTTGCATTTTAAGCAAAAACATTACTTCAAAATGTTATTGAAAGTATGAAAATATAGTAGAAGCACAAAGACAATGTCGTGGCAATCTAATTTCGTAGCTTAAAACTACCCGAAGGAAAGTTTGAAGCGGATGGAAATGCTCAAAGTATCTGTAGAAAATGTTTTAGAAGGCCAAGAGCATGAACGAGCTTCACTAACAGACGAAGAGTACCGGAAAATCATAGAAAAATGGACCAAATATTTGTAAGACGAGCAAATCGTGAGCTTGGTATCAACAAGCCAAGTCTATCACATCCAAAAGCGTTGTAAATAAAAAAAAAATTGCCTTCCAACAATAGTACATGCTATCAATATAGATAATCAGCATTGAAAAAAACAATTCTCTGAACGGTAATCGGAAAAATATACGCAAGACACACAGTTCTTTTTAAGGTTCGATTGGAGCGGTGAGGCTAGATCCGAACTAAATGTTATATTTACTGCGCAACTATAAATCCACATCTTTCGTCGGAGCGATATATTTACCAGAATCTACACTGTGGTGCAGCATTCCGAGAAATTAATGATCAAGTCATTATTTTTTACACTGCAGTGATTGATACCAATAATTTGATTTCTCCGCAACCATCTGTTTTACCAAGTATTCGAAGGGACTTCTGTCAAAATGGCGTGTTTTATTTCTGACAGGATGAGGCAGCTGCAACGTGCAACTGCATTGTGGTGTAAGGTGATATTTTAATGAAAATCTTCCTAACAAATCGGTTAGACGATGACGCCCCTTAATATACTTCGTTTGTTCTCCTGAATCAGTTTTTCTTATGGGGATGCTTTAAAAATAATATATACCCCCAAAAGATCGACAACGCTGGAAAATTCAAAAGCCAATTTTACTAGACCGCAGTAAGTAAAATGTTTGTTGAATTCAATGAATTAATCGCCAACCATTACCAGTAGTGTATTGAGCAGGACTTTTGTTTATTGTTCTTCAATTGTTTAGACATCTGCGGTAGGAGGAAAAGTTATATATTTTATGTAGATTATTTTGCGATTTAAATATTAAACTAATGCAAATAAAAATAGAAGTTCAAATCACCGAACGTATGTATACTTTTTTGACACATACTGTATATCCGTTATGAAACGTGATTTGTTCTATGAACAATACCATTCACATGGAGGAATCCTACATACTTCCAGCGTGGTACTCACTAAAATATAGATAAGACACCGGATGCAAAACCCGTAGACATGGAATCACTGTAAACAAGGCACTGTCAACACATGAAGATATTTGTCTTATCTCACGAATCCGTATATTCCGTACAGAAAACACAAACTTTCTCAGGCAGCCTAAGCGCGTAACGCTACACAACACGAATGCGGCGACATTAAAAATTGTACCTCACCTGGTAGGAGATCGACTAGAGTATTCTGAGTCTTTTAACAAAGAACGAAAGAGTAATCTGTGCGATGGTATACCGCGAACGTTAGCAAAGAATGAATGCCCGTCCTACTCCTTCTTAAATCTAGCCACGGGACCACCACGCAGACAAAGACAAAGGGGAAACGTCGAACTATTTTGAATTTATGATCCCAAAGATCAAAATTACTATAACTCTATCGACTTTGATAGGAAGTGGCATCTGTGATGGTGTACCGAGCGCATTTAAAAGCAGGCACGCCAGAAGCCAGGGAATTATCTACAAATCTTTCTTCGAATAAGATCTATCGCCAATAAGCTTGTCATTACTTCACTGCGCATGGAAATTATAACCTCACTCATTTTGATTAGTTGGGCCGATTCGTGCCATTTATCATTTTCAGTGCTTACCCAGTAACCCAGATCTTCTGTTTGATTGCCCCAACTGTAAATACCGACACGTTAGCAGGTGGACATCAAAAGGCACAGTTTGGTGCCGACAGTAAGCTACACACCGACGTTTACTGCCGACCTGATCGGGCACCGCAGCGATGATAATGCTACCTCTTTCTAGATTTCGCAACCCTTCCGTACTGGAGACAAATCTCAGCAGAGATATCCCGAGTTCAGGATTGTCTGCCGTGAGCTGATCGGAACAGCTGATAGCAACAGTTTATATCCTGTTCTGGGAGAGGCGACTAGTAAACACGACCGTCCATCGCCAGAACTATAATCACGCTATAGTCGAAGACAAGTATAATTGCTGCCCTTGGTAGCAGACGATTACGGTTCGATGCGAAAGGTACCATGTGAGCGTGGACTTGGAATGGATGCAGGGAGAGATAGAGTAAGTAAGAGAAGTTGTAGAAAGAACGACATAAAAGTTTTCGTTTTGAAACGGTCACATTGCTATTTACCATGTGAAGTGTAGAAAACACATTGATGTAGCTATCACTAATGACGGCCGCGTTTGATGGTGGTTTGTTGAACCTCACCGCAAATCTATACATTTCAAAGAAGTAAACTAGACTAATGTTACTGCGCACCTTTACTATTCATATCTCGATTCTAGATACAACGCGTAACACCATCGTTCGATCCAATACATGATAACGTTTTGAACGGCTCTTGAATTGTTTTTTGCCGATGTGTTGTTCCTACGATTGAATGAACTAGTATGACAATTCTTGTAAAATAGTCAAAATTACTTTTTCCCTGAAAATTCTACTAGAAATTGTTATTGGAGAAGAATTTTTCACATACTCAGAAGGTATCGCAACACAGCCGAAGAAGTTTGTTTGCAATCTCAAGTGAGCAGGAACAGAAACAGCTAGTTTCACTAGTGTTACTATACCGTACACTGTCCTTTACATTACAACGATAAAGCTTGCCATCTTTTAGCAAAAACCAGCAGGTGGGAAAAATCGTATGATAACTTTGACCCTTCTTGCCTTAGAAGGTAGCTGCGGAAACTCGCAAATTGTCTGATACTACATATATTATGAAACGCCGATGTTTATATCCCTGGATCACGAGTACAGACAAAATAAAAATAGGGACAAAATGCAGTTCTTATCAAGAGTGAATTCAATTAAGTTATTTTTGGAAATAACTGAACTTCTCATTTAAAAAGAATCAGGACATTTTAGAAGCAGCGTCTGGTTATGTACATAGGTTAATGGGATTGTTGCAACGAATGGCGGTGCACGAGGACATTAATTGATTAATAATTAGCAGATTCAGACGTGTAAAACTACAAGACCCAATTATTTCTTTATTATTTCAAACATTTTGTATTTGTACTTGTTATAATTATGAAATACGCGATCTGTGAAGCTTTTATTTTCACAATAAAAATACATTCAAGGTAGGTCTTTTGATAGATTATCCAGCTTTTTCACTATATACTCTTTTAGATCAAAACAAACAAATAATACTCAAAAAAATAATAAACTTAGACCAGTCAAAATGTTTCTTAACTATAGATAGTGAGATTTATCGTAAATACACTTAAGAATGCAATCAAAATCGAAATCTAAATGTAAAACTTCTAAAATCATATTTTTCAGAATCGCCAGATTTAGGTATATCCTCTAATAATAAAGCTCCTGAAGAATCGTTACATATCTTAAAAACAATAATCAAATGCCTCCTTTTATAATAATAAAAACAGTGTCTCGCTTGGGAGGGTCCCTCCTCTGTGAGTTGTTATACCAAAGTAAGATGCTGCGCTTATCGTAAACCATCCCTTTATGTAGTTCCTTTTGATACAAGAAGATGTTCTCAACCACTGAAGGCCAAGCATTTGATTCTTGAAAATGTACAGATCTTTTGCGACATGATAAGGCGAACTGAGTTTCTATCAATAATCAGGACTCTTTTTACACACATTTCGCGATTATTATTACATTACTTCAAAAGGAATATATCGATAAATATAAATAAATATAAATTTAGAATAGCGACAAAAACTTGAGACACACAATGCCACTGAATAAAGTTTGTTAGATAGAATAAATAAAAAAATTTGTGATTCGAAAGTTTGGAGCTCTTTTTCAATAAAATAATTTGAACCTAACCATTATATTTACCACGCAATAGAAAAAAATATTAGCAAGAAGGAGGGAGTAAAATCATAAAGTAAGTTAATAAAATAATTATTAATAGCAAATAGTATGGTATGAATTCTACGAAATTATTTTATTTGCATATACTTTGTTTTCTTAGCAAAAAAACGAATAATTCGATAAGATTGTAGTATTAATTTTTTTATAGGTGCATATGTATCTTTTCTAAAAATATTTACAATTTTTACTGCTTTTGATCATCTGCCGATGAACATTTCATATTCAAGCACTTCAGTTTGTAGTTGGTATTGCAAAAGAGTGTTTGACACATTTTATCACAGTAGGTAGCATCCAATGAATTAATTGCGCTCCAAATTGTATATTTAATTTCAATCAATAATCAAAATTGTAGTTTGAAGATGTTACGGGATGTTACACTTGCACTTAGTAAAAATCGAGCAAACAGTATAATTGTACATTTATGTACCTAAAATGTAAACTTCACACCAATGTTACATTAATATTCGTTTTTGGGTGATTTTATATTTATAATAATATAGATTGTTTCATTTACCTCGGATAATTTAATAGATCTATAATAATAACTGATGCGGTGAATATGGGAGATAATCTGTCGATATATTCCTCATACTGCATATCAACGATTCGAATCGAGGCTATATAAGTACCCAATTTTATTCGGGTAAGGCTTTTAAATTATTTTTCATCTTATATATCAAAGGCGTAATGAAACATTTTTAAAGTAAACTAAATTGAAAAACCATGTTAACATTGTACAAGCAGGCCTAAAAAGTGAGGCAGTATTTGCTGTTGGCAGACCTTTTGCTTACAACTAAGGGAAGAGTGATCCAATTATTGATTATTTCAGTCAAGTATAATTTTATTCTGCTAAATAATGCAATTGTCCGACGGAACTGCTTTCTAATCCAGGACAATGTTCCGTTTATTCTGGAAGATAGCTGGAAACCAGTATGTTTCCTCTATGCCGGCTCCATCCAGCCATAAAAGATTCTCCTGCAGTAGTTCATTGATCACCTAAAACAGCGTAAAGAGTCACTGTAAATGGGATGCATATACAAATACATCAAATAATAAACTAGATAAAAATTAGAATTCAGGGAAGAAAACGCCATATAACAAAATTGCATGTCTACGTGAAAGTAACAGTTAAATGAGTACAATAAAACTAGAACTAAAAATACAGAATAAAACATTTTGTTACTCAAGTCAAATGAATATATACATAAACGAAAATAAAACTTATTTTAAATGAGAATTAGTCATTGCATAAATATTAAATACAAGTAAAGTCCGCTAAAAGGAAGCCGCTTCTCTCACAAGTAGTATACTGAGATCAATGCAATGCGTAGATAAATATGTCTAGTTTTTACGTCCCGTGCTACCTTCTTCAGATGCACTGCATGCCAGATTATAAGCTGGCTATCGGAATGTTGAGCCTTGCCTGGGAGGTTTTTGTCACAACTTGAGTTTCGTAAAAATTTAAGCGAATACTTAGCACAGCGGCCTTTCAGTTCATCAAATTGTCTTGATAATTTTTTCTTGGCTCCAGATTGAATTGAGAGATCTCGAATAAACCTAGGAGACAAGTCCATAATAAGTCTATCGCCGCATGTCTTGTGAAGCTCCGGGATCCTCTCTAAATCGGAAGCCTTGAAGTGACGCCTCTCATTCAAACCTTCTGGTGCGAGATACATGCATATAACCAGCTGCTGACACAATCTTCCAATAAGAAAATTGGAACTTGTGGAACTGGGAGTATGCGAAAATTTCTAATGAAGTCGCCAAGGCTTTTTGAGTCTGTTTCCTGCACCTTGAGTAAAGGAGCACTAGCAAAGGAAAATAACTTACAGATTTTATGATGTTATCGTCAAAAAGCGAGCTCAGCGTCTGCTGTGAATCTCATTGCTTTGATGTAAACGGAATTAATTTGCATCTGACAATTTGAAGCATAATGAAATAAGGTTTGGGTTAAGCGAAGCTGTTTCACGTGAGAGCCACTCGTTCCGTATATGACAACATCAACCTCGTATTATAACAACATTGAACGGGTATTGCAAAGGCTCGCTTCCTAACTTCCATAAAGAATGGTGGAGACGTTTTTATTACTCGACCACATACATAATATTTTGTAGCAGTATCAGCCAAGTGTCCCAACAGAACTTAAAAAAGGAAATAAGACGAATGCAAGTAGTGACCATTAGGGAGGCGGCAAACGAATGGCTAATGGTTTGAAAACACAAATTTCTGAAAATGCATAATCCTGAAGAAAGGGCGTACTAGGACAAGACAAGCGCTTGAACCCGCTGCATTAACTAAGACAATTAAGGCTAAGACATGCTGGAAAATTAAGAAGCGACTACAGCAAGCCGTAACTCAAAACGATTGGGTCATTCCGACCGGTGCAAGTTTAACGTAGCAGAAAACTATTTACACAATTAAAAACCACTAAAAGGGAAATCAATAGAAGACAAGACGACTAACATCGTTACTACTTTTAAACATAAAAGCGCCTTACGTTTTTGGAGGCTAAAAATCATCACCTAAACGAGATAAAAACGAGAGAAGGGTGCCTATTCTGGAATTACATAAGTCGCTAAATGCTAGAAAAAGGGGACGATTTTCTGGTAACTTGTAACATCAAATCCCAGAATGTAAATTACTGTACCAAAAGTGAAAAAATTGTTGGGATTATGTTAATTCTATCTGCCAAAAACCATAGATAAATCCTCATAAATATTACATCGCCAATAAGGCCAAGATTCAATTCCCATTTAGTCCGTCCAGAAGTTTAGTAATGATCTTTTTAAGGGAGGGTTAAGGCTGAAACATGGCTCCAGTTTAGAATCCAAAAGAAAGCACTAGTAAAATAGGAAGCACATCTACTAACTAAAAGCCACACTGGAAATCGCAGCTACTTCTACTCGGTAGAAGATAAAAAACTGTCTCAGATCGCATCTGCCCCAGGCGAGTCATTTCGAAACAACTAATTATTTATATACAAAATTAAAAAAAAAATATATATATAAAGCAATTAATAAAAAAAAGCACAAGAGCGATTCTCCAAAAGTAAACAGCTGCCTGCGGACGCTGCCGACAATCGTCCTGCAGAGACGCATAGGCTAAGCCGAATACAGGCTAGTTTTATGTGCTATGATGCAAGAAGTGGACATGCATAATTTTGAAACAACTCGGTAAGCGTTGCTCAGAAATCAACACAAGTTGGCTTCCCCGCTTTTAGCTACTAAAGCCAACAGTAAACTTCTGCCCTTCCTTTTGTGTCATCAGAACCCCTATTGTCGGTCTTGAAAAGTCTGCATAGCTAATCTCTGACATCAAAATCTATCGTGCTATTTGTGGCTGATTTAAAAAGAGCTAAAAAATTTGTTATCTGAGCCGTCTTGCACTATGAAGTCGAGTAAGTTAGAAAAAAGCAGAGCATCAATCAAGTTTTCAGAGTTCTTGGTCATTAAGTAATGTACGCTTAGAATTTGTTCATTTTAAACGACTTCATTATCTTTATCGTTTGCGTGTCTTTATGTATCTGATGGTATTGATTTGTCCGGGTGTAATGTATACGTATGTTCGGGTGTAAGAGCACTTTGTTTCGGATTCGTGGGAGCCAACCATCTGAAGTGATGCTTAATCCTAGGATGAAATGTAAAACACCAAATAATTATTTGGTCTGTAATGGGCATTGAATTGCTATATCTATCAGTAAAAAGCTATCATATTTAATAGAGGAATGGGTTCCTGAAAAAAATCATCTGACCGTGCCATACCAAGAGACAAGCGATATAAATTTTATTATCAATAGCATACATTTATGAATTGACTCACCTTCACGCACCGTTGAGTTGGCCAGTTATACTCTTCTTTGAGAATCGTTACACTCACCTGTAGCAAGAAATATATCAGCTGAATATCGTCACTCTATGAGGTAAATAACAATATACCGATAACTTTACTCAGAACAGAAACATTCCTCATTCGGTGATAACTTGTATTATTGGTCCATATTTTGCCAAAATTAGGATTCCGACGGGCACTTTCCAATTAACAATACTACACTGGGTGTTAAATTAAAAAAAAAAACAGAAGACGGCACCATTATTATTGATTGGATTTTTCAAAACACGAAAGCAAAATAAGTGAATAATTAATTTTATCGATACCATTCCACGATGCTTTTCACCAGCCTGAATTACTCCACTTTGGTCAACCGAAAGTTCTCTAGCGATGCTTTGAATGTAAGTCTCAGGTCCCGTCTGGATCACTTGAAAGCCGGTGCCAAGAACGCGGATTTTTTTAATAGACGTCAAAATATCCGATGCACTTATATCACCTCGATTTTTACCTGGAATCAAATAACAAGATATAAAAGACGGTATACGCATCGTGGTTCATTAGAGTACTGCACACTCGATATAACTTGGATTATATTACTAGGATTCTCATCTAAGATAGATAATAACTGATAAACCTCCATTTGTTAAAATAAAGCGGAAAACTGAAAAAAGTTTCATAAAACTTACCTCTCCGAATGCGATTCAAGAGTTCGGTAAGTGAAATTAGGCCTCCGTTCACGTTCTGTGTGGCAAGACAAATTTCGATTATTTGGACAGCCAATTCATAGTATAAATCCCCGACGCCCAAAAGGTTCGCCCAGAAGCCTTTGGATGACGCTAATGGATCGACACCGATATTCGCACACATCTCCTATGGTTATATGGATGAAAATAGATAAAAGCTTCAATTTCAGTTACAGGCTTTTCTTAATAATGCTGTTAATATAGAACGACAATAAAATACCTGGCTCTCACAACGTTGTAAATCGTGGGTCCAAAAACTCAGTGATAAACAAACCGAAATAATTTTTCTTAGAAACCATTTGTAATTAAAATAGTTTGTTATGCATCCTTACTTGATTGAATTTTAATAGAAAGAGAAAGAATTCATCCTGGCAAAAAGTAACCAATATTGCTCCAACTTTCTTTATAATTAAAATTTAAAGGTTATATGTAACTGTAGAGTTAAACAAGTACCTGGAACCTCCGCCTAAATTCAGGATCTTTCTGGATCGATTTCGCATGTTTGGCAGCGAACTCCTCGAGCTTCCCTTTGAAAGCTTCTATTTGCTGATCCAGCTGTGTAAGTTCTATTGCGGCCAGTTGATCGCCTTTTTGGCGAAATTTTTCTTCTGCCAACCGGGATTTCTGCACAGCCGCTACTCCGACGCGGCGCCGCATTTGGGCTTTGAGCTTTGATATCCCTGCAAATCAACATGAATATTAAGTTCAATGTAGTTTCAAGGCCATACCTTTTTTTCTGAACTTATTAAGTTTAGTATTACAGCATCCTTTATCACTAAACAAAATCACATTAATTACGCAGCATGTTCCCGCAATGGTTTAATGATAACGTTTTTCTCTGCTAACAAGAGCCTATCAGGTGATCCAGATTCGAATCCGGCCAAAAACACATTGTCTCCGGCCAAAGTTCTAGGAATAATTTCTCAAAGACACTAGTCCTGCTAGCCTTTCTGATTATGTGAAGTCTCCTTTTCTGTTAAGTCTTTGACGATAAACTAGACACTACTACCATACTCGAAAAGCTAGATGAAAGTCAACTATGAAACTTGTTTTGTGGTTACGCAGCATATTCTGGACCAGTTAAATACCATATAGGTGTAATAATTTTTATTCCGTAAGCAATTGCTCTGCGAAGCCAATTTTGCCACGTTGCCTTTCAAATAGAGATTTGAACGTTCTAAAAGCAGGTGCAACTTTCATTTACCTAGACGGGTGACTTAGTGGCCTGTTTTCATATAACATGCTACTCAGGAGAAGGTTTCATCCCATTATTAGCTTATTGCTATTATGACGGATCTGTCACTTACTGGAAAGAGTCAGGCCAATAATTAGATCTAGTCTTTTTTCGGCATACGTAATTTAAATGATCAGTAACAGTCAATATTTACAATATTATGAGGTATTTTCGGTGATAACATGAATCAGAAGAAAATAAATCATTATCATGACTAAAGATTGTTACGGTTAGGATCATTTTATTTTTCGAGTATACTTAACACTGTGTTTCTATAACAAACCAATGGAGGACTTCTCCGATTGGCAACTAAGGAGTTGCTATTAAAGAGCTCGTTAAATAAAAAAAGTGTTACAAACATTTTACTGTCATAAAGTAACAATTGGTGCTGTGTGTTTATTTTGAGCCCTTTATCCGGACAGTTTTTCCGAGCAACGCTAAGCAACGCATCTAGGCCTATCGTATAAGGGACGAGTGAAAGTCAGCTATGGAAAAGTAGTACCCCGCCCTGATCAAATTTCCATATATCATCTATTCCAAAGTTTTAAAGAACACATTTAACGAACGCTGATTGGATATTCACTTATGCTTACAACTGCTCTCATGATATACTGATGACATCTCTCCTTTCTTGACATTCATTCTTCGTTCTTTGACATTGTTAAAGCAAACAGCTCTATCAAACTAACAATAAGCTGTATCTATCCGATTGAGCCGTTACTGCCTCAATATATTTAAATAAGTTTAAAGTCGGTCACTGCCGAATAGCTGACTATTGCTTCAGAGGTCCAGCTCCTTTCAACACGAAATGGAGTGTGTGTATCTTCAATATCGAACCTAGACCACTACGTGTCTCTACGTTTAGTAGGTAAATGCGTTACTACTCAACTACCCCATTACGCCTGAACGTATTCATGCAACACAGACATTTTACCGCATTCATATATTAAGAGTATTACAAATCAAATTCAAGCTATTATTCATTGAGCTAATCACAATGGTAAGATCACGACCCGCATCCAACGCAGGTCCACGATCAGCCATCACAATGATTAAATACGATAAGGAAACCGACTCAGTGGACTGCGCCCCATGTCACAGGGGTGATGGGACAGACAAAACAATGTTAAGGGACAGCAGAATAACAAGAAGTAACAGTAATACATGTTACCTTATGGGCAGCCAGTTGGGTTAGATCAGGACTTTTTGAGCAGTCATATAAACACGTCCAAAAATTCTACACGATCACAAATTTGGCTAGTTATTATATATTTTGAACTTGGCAACAACTGTATGAATAGAAGTTTTGCCAAACATTTGGTGGGAAGGTTGGTTAAGAGTTAGGTCCGACTTCGACAATCGGAATCAATAATAATGCAGTGTGGAGATCTAGTAGTAGGATTAATTCAAATAAGGGCTAAAGAACTAAAATTGGAAAACTATAAAACCTAGAAGACCCGACAGCGAAAAAGATCGCCCTATCGAAGATCTTCGTCGATAAGAAGGAAGTTCCAGAGCTGAAAACTGCTAAAGGAAATTAAGTCAGCTAGGTTAAGGTTCCTAATTAGCTCATCTAAGAAATACCGGAGAAACCGGGAACAAAAGCAGCGTGTAGTTCAGGCGCACCAGCAGGGAACTTCATTCGTTTCACTAACTTCGGCCTGGGCTATAAGTGACTGAGCCACTCTAGGTGGCATCTGCTTAAGTAGCATAATGATATATTTTATACGTTCGATGAGGAAAGTCACTAGCTTCCACAATGGGGACAAAGCATGTCGTTGCCTTTCGATGAGCGAATGGTCTTACATTTTGTCTAACGTCACGACAAATACTACCTTGGCTAGACAGGTTCCGAATTTAGTTGGGGCGCTATGTATTCTCGGGGGCAGATGAGGGAAATTCCGAGGCAGACTTTCACAGGCCCAGTTTTCGAAGGCAACGCTTGTGAAGGAGTCGAAATTTTTGACGAAGTGGAAAAAAGTCATTATCCCACCTTTCGGTAAACTACTGCTTACTTTAAATATATATGTTACACCAATAGAGTAAAAAGTATACATAACTGATTTAATTAAGTCCAAGAGTCTGCTCGTTTTGATCCTTTATATTTGAAGATATTCTTGTAAAGTTGTGCATAGTTATCACACGCTGCAATGACCTACTGCCGACGCTTGGAAACTACCTGTTGTCGTTAAGACAACTTTTCAGGCTTCCGCAAATACCAGCGTCTTTATTCTAAATCCGAATCTAAAGCCTCTTCGAAAATACTGTATCATCCTAATGAAACGAGTAGCGTGTAGTCTCTAAACTATTATTTAATACGTTATACAGAACTTTGATCATTCTCCTATTGTGGATATATTTTTACATGAAGTGTATATACTTCCATAGAGGATATTTGGATCCGATAAGCATCGTTGTAGCTTCGCTAGACTAGGCAAGATAGCCGCGATCTCTAATAATAGTGAAAGTTACTACTTCGTTAAAGGTATTTTAGTAGCGACACTTTCAAAAAGGTGCCACTAATATTATGCCAAATGAAGCTAACGCTAGATTGCAAGTGGCTACTTAAACACAATGACACACAATAGAGAACGACAACCTTTTTTTGTTGTTGTGATCCAACTCAGCCTCTATTGGCATGTTATTACCAAGATCCAAAGCATTTTAATAATCGCTGAATATATGCTAGCTAATTAATTCCTATTGATTAACAGAGGTGTAGGTATAGAGCTCACGATCTTTTTTAAAACCTTAAACTTCAGCCATCTCCCCACTCATTTACTATGGAAATGTTTCAAATTAACCACACAGTAACCGTGGATAGAAACTACTATTCTTTTTTGCTTGTTTCATAGAATTTACTAATATCAGTACCCTAAGTTCTAACCAACGATTATTTCACACTTGTTGTACCATTGAAATGTTTCAAACACAGAACCGGAAATATGGCTGCTTACGACTCAATGGTGAGGACATCGAGCATCATTAACGGATATCGATTGTCGGACCGAAAACTTACTTGCCCGGTGTATATATAACGTAACTTTGAGTGGCGTTCGAACCAATAATAAGCCTCTCGTATCATCGATTTGTAATATATATCCAACCTTTTTAAATCAATGGACATTCAGGGGCTGATAGGAATTCTTTAGTTATGCGTGCACATCATTTAGAGGCAGGTGAATTTAAAATGAAGAAGCTGCGGTGATACTTAGATGATCCATGCAGTGGCAAACCTTATCAATCGCAAACGCATTACTGTTATAGTAATAATAATAATACTGATTTACGGGCTACAAGTTTTCAAAATAGTTCATTAAACAATGAGTATAAGCTTCATCTCACTTATACTATATGTTATTTTTTTTCTGCCTTCACATTTACCTATGCCCGAAAAGTCGACCTATAGAATATATAAAAATAGTATCAGTTTCCCCAAGCTACTTCCGTCCTCAGTGTTCTACTTGGAATTCCAATTAATTTTTCTTTGCTTGTACTATTTGAATTTAAAGTCTGACTAATGTGAATTTTGTCGTGCATTATTCTGCTGATGTATTTTTTTTATTATTCCGAATAAATCCAAACAGGCTAGTCTCATTTAATAGTAGTTGCAGTCGCTGACCACCTTAAATAGGAAAGATGCAAATTAACGGCTAAATACTCGACGAATAGTTTCCTGGCTGCTCATATCGTCTACCCTAGGTGCGAATAATTCGGCCGAGACAAACGCAAGACTCGTGATTGATCGCGAAGCTTTTGACCATTCGATAACGACGGACATCATAACTTTTTTCATACTACTTGCTCATGAGGGAGACAGCCATTTGAAAAAGCACGTGCTTTGTCGTCGGAAAATGCAGGAAGGCTTTGGGCCATACAAAACTATTATGTTTGACGACAATTTCCTCATCACTTGAAAAGCAATTCTTTGTTTAAGCTGGATTCTCTTACAATTGTTTAGTCATTATAACTATTGTATGATTGCCACTGTCGCATCGTCCTTTTGTTCAATAAATTCCTTAAAACGTACAACACCACTATTTTATGGTAAATATGGATTACAAATTCATGGTAAGCGCACACTAACAATGTACACAACGAACTTCTGGGTGATTGCTAAAACTACTCTAAAAATGAAAACATCACCAGTAGCAATTTTATTCTGTTGACGCAACGACGAGTATCTGTGTTATTCACGTATTCTCTTATTTTGTTATACCAGATCCTAGGGTTGGTTATACGAGGTCAGTCTGCATTAGCTTTATATATTGATCTACGTAAATAGTTAGTTCATTCCAAATGCACACTGCCAACACTATATTAAAAAATGAATTGATAAAATCAAATATAATTTATAGACACATAGACAAAATCTAACAGGTTGTTTCCTACTGACAGATGATATGGGCAGTCAGCCAGAGAATAAATTGTTTGTTCTTGGATCGAAATGGCGGTACTCAGCTTCGATTGAACACCATCCAATTTAAACTGAAAATACTAGCAGAGATTCCACAGAGCCGTCTTATTTTTTCTGCTTAAATTACGGGTTTGTCGCGTATAAACGGGTGGTTTGCTCTATTTTCTTGGTTAAAATTTAGTTTTGAATTCTAGATGAGAGGTCGACTGGCTGCGTCTGTTTTCATCGTATAATCTGAGTAGTGCTTTACTTAGTTAGTTTCCTTCATTTGAGGTTTAAAGTTTCGCAGGTACATTCTTGACAGTGTCATTGATAGCCATAGCGACATGTTCGACGTTCTTTTCCGTCACACCGCTCATTGAAATACGGCCATCGTTCATGAGGTAGACGTGATGCTCCTTGATCATGTGAGCCACCTGGTTCTCGCTGAGGCCAGTATAGCAGAACATACCAATCTGATTCGTAATATGTTCCCAGCTGCCAGGCGTGTTCAGAGCGATGAGTTTCTCCTTGAGGACCGCCCGCATGTGGATTATTCTTGAAGACATCTCCTTTATTTGTTCTATCCATTCGCTAAACAGACCTTCGTCATTAAGTACTCTCGAGATAATGCGTGCCCCATGGTTTGGCGGATTTGAGTACATTGCGCGAATGTTCACAGCTATCTGGGAAACTGAGTTCTTCAGAACAGTCTTATCATTCACCACTATCAATAGGTTTCCGGCACGCTCGTTGTACAAGCCAAAGTTCTTGGCGAAACTCTGGGCACAAAATAGCTCGAAGCCTTGCGAGACAAAATAACGCAGTGCCCAACTGTCACGTGCAAGATCACCCGAAGCAAAACCCTGATACGCGCAATCAAAGAATGGGAAATGATTTCGCGCCTTACAGATTTCAGCGAGCTCCTTCCACTGCTCTTGGGTGGGGTCAACTCCGGTTGGGTTGTGAGCACATACATGTAGAATTATAACCGAACCTTCGGGCGCATTTTGGAGGTCTTCCTTCATTCCTCGGAAGTCGAGACCCCGCGTCGCCGGATCCCAGTAGCGATATGAGTAAATATTAGCAAACCCGGCGTTTCGGAAGACAGCTTTGTGATTTGGCCACGTTGGGTTGCTGACGTAGACATGAGTGAAACCGGCTATTCTGGCGAGGAAATCGGCACCAATGCGCAAGCTACCGGTGCCTGACAGTCCTTGCACGCCAACGGCGCGTCCCTCCTTAATAGCCGGATTGTCCTTTCCAAGGATCATCGACACGGCAGCTGAGGTAAACGTATCAATGCCAGTCATGCCGAGATACTCATGATTGAGACTTTTACCCATCTCCTCTGCCAGTTCCATCTCGACCTTCTTAACAACGGGTAAAACCCACGGTTTACCGTCATTGTCACGGTAGGCACCAACACCAAGGTCGACCTTGCGCGGATCCGGATCGTTTCGGTAGGCCTGAGTCAGAGCGAACACAGCAACTGGCGGAGCTGCTTGGACAGCACTAAAACGCGAAGTCATTTTTAATACATGGACTCGACGACAATAGCAAGATAAATCTCAGCAGACGTTCAATTTCAAATGCCTCAACGCCCACGCTTGGTTCTCTTTGAATCAATGCTACACCAAGCGCGATGATTCAGCCTTTATCACTCCAAGAAGGAAACAAGCTTATCCTTCAAAGCACTGATAATAACGCGACAGTCAACGTTTGCAGCGACCTCTCTAAACAGGAATGACAGGGTTTTTGCTTTTGTCAATACCGTAAACACACTGCCCTCCGCGCTGTAGGCCGACGAATATTAGCGCCAATGTAACACCGTGTCTGTTGACGCGGGAGAAGGCGCTGAGAGAAGGTTGAGTACAGACGAAAGAACCATTAACCCTAGAATGGGAAGAGGACACAGACTAGTTTGGTGCTGCAAGCTCCTAGGCCTTAAACTTGTAAACTACACTGGGTGTAGGGCGAATTTGTAACAGAAAAATCATAAAAAGTTACCAATTGACGACGGACCTAAAATCCAACAGCCAGTGGAACAGGGTGGCGAAATTTTCACAATCGGTAGAGTCGTCCTATTAGATGGAGGCAATTGTTATCATCCACAAGCCAACTCTGTCACCTACTTAGTCCTCTGTATTCCTCTGCTTGACGTTCCATCGAATGACACACATGAACTAAATCAGGTTATGATAGATAACGACGATATAACTGGCATCTTTCTGTATTCGGGTGACTGACAATGATTGCAGCTTTGTCGTCCTCGAAATTGCTTACAAAAACTGAGCACCACCAACACAAATATTCTCCAAATCAGAGTGTATGGGAAATTGTTATGTTTTTAGGAGGTTGAAAGCGAATGCATTATGCAGACCAAATTTCACAGCTAAGGTTTATCTTGTGAGACATTGTTGAGCTGAATGATTGTCGCTAATGCTCTGGGCATATGTCAACATTGGAAGAATGTCAACAAAACACCTCCTAGTTACCATATACGCACAGAACTGAAACTTATCTCGAGCAGTAAGTCGTGAGAGGCTGTCAGTCAGTAGGAGTACATGATATGTATCTAAATGACCAGCCTTTTTTTGGTATAGAATAATAACGAAAGTCATCTTTTTGTTCGAGCTGTTCCGAGGATTTGAGAGAAATCATTTTTGTCATTCCGAGGGTTTTGTCTTCTGTTTTTTACTCTGAACGAGGAAAAAGAAAACTATTTTACAATCTAAAACCCCCTAATTTTCAATAATGTCCATAAAGTGATACATAATTTCTAGGTACTACTTAGTTGTTAATTTACGGCGATGTCATCATCTATTGTGAACGTGCTTTTATTGGTATATTGTGACCATAGGTGTGCTGAGTGTATGGAAGGTTTTCCTGTTTGGCGCTATTCGCATTCTGTTGCCGGTACAGTAATGATGTTTGGGACTCAAGGAACGAATGGTACTCGGGCACTACTTCGAAATCTCTGTTCGCCCGAGTGTTGTACGTTCGAAAATCAAAAAGTGATTGGTTCTCGATCTCAGTTTTTAGTGTTGTTTGCGCACTGTATTTGAGCGGCATTTGATAAATTTTTGTGAATGGTGTGATTTTTTCATGGTGGAACACTATGAAACAACACAGCCAACGGCTCTGGCACTAACGAAAAATTCCCACACTAGATTTAGGGTCCGAGGAATAGGCTAAAGGTTTGTTTGAATATTTGAAAATTCGGAGCATTGTTATTATTCGTAGATAATGAAATGTTAAAATTTTGTCATTCTATATATTTATTAAGGGTAACTTCACCGCAAATAGATGTATCGCCTATAAGAAAATATCCCACAAGGCAGTGTGGCAAAAAAGAGTCGAAGTTTCATTAAAAAATTTAGAAAATTTCAATGTCAGATTTTAGTCAAAGCATCCTTGCGGTTGATTTGTATTCACTCCTTAATTTACACAAATTCTGCCATTCGATAATATTGAATGAAATGCAACGGAACCGTTAATTCAAATATGTATTTGTTTTTTGCAGTTTTTCGCATTTCTCGAAACGTTGCATAGGCTTACCTTACTTTGAAGTTATAATAATCTGACAGCTAATACAAGGTGCAATGACTTTCTCCACTACTGTTCGGTTCATCAGATGTGCTTACCAAATTCACAATTGAATTAATCCAAAGTAACCATTGCTCGTCTCGATTATAGTGAATTAATTCTATATATTAACGCAATACACAGTCAACCTTCAAACCATTCGAGAATCGAACTAGTTGTCTCGCAGAAATAAAAAATACGCTAAAGCATATTGTTATTAAACCTGGGAGTGTGTAACTGGAAAATGATCAAGCAGTAAGCACATAAATATTTATCGTTTGTGTGTGTGGAGCTCGAATGCTAAAAGCTTGACAGTAAAGGACGATGGTATTCACTGCTGATTGCAATTAAAACAGAGCAAATTCTGTGACTAGATTGTCTAGTCAGTCTTTTGTGTTTAGGAGATCGGGAAACGCTACAGTGTACCTCTTCACGTAGACTTCAATTATTTAGTTGGATAGTAATAACAGTTTTATGAATATTGCTGAAGAAACCCAAGTAAGTACATGGATTTTAAATGTTGGTCTTATCTAGTCGTTCTCCCATATTACAAAAACGACTGATGTGGCAGATCACGAGCCAGGTTAGCCACTCAAACAAGCAGGAGAGACCTTTGTCTAACGTCTTCAAGTGACCAGAGGTAAAGGTGTTTAGTTATGAAATGTTATATGTATTTTGTAATTTTATGAATGATCTACAATTTTTACGGGAAATCTTTTATCGTTTTTGGTTGTTATGATGCCATTTTTTATATTAGAGAAGTGTTTAAACTTAAACATCTATTTGTCCTAAGGAAATTGCCTTCCGTTGACGTCGTTAGAATAGGCGGAGCTCTCGCTGTTAAATCAGTTGGTATTTTCGTTTTTAGATGAGTGCACCATCAACTCCTGGTACGGGTACTTTTTCGGGTGGTGGCGGCTCAGGAGGCGGGGCAGCTATTAATCAAGCCGGAGGGTCCAGCGCTGCTAAAGGTGCAGCAGGAGCAGCTGCAGGCCTAGTAGCAGGGGCTCTTCTTGATCCGGTTGCACAGATGAACACGTACAAATCATACGTTAGCCTCCTCGCAGACCCTTCTGCGAAGGATGACTCTAAACAGAAGGCTGCACAGGAGCTCAGTGAAGACTTTGAGGTTAGTACTGCGGGCGACAACAAATTTGATATAATATCTTTTTTGCGTGGCTAAAAAGTTCCCTTGACATGTTTAGAATCTGTACGCTTTAAACAAAGTATTAAGAATAACCGTTTTCACTGTGTAAAATCTCATTCCGACAACTGCTGTCAGTAATCGTAAGATCAATTATAATTACACAACTGGTATTAATTGTTTGGATTATCAAAGATGAACACCTGGTGGCCGGATCCTTACTAACTGCTCAGTGTCCATACTGGTGCTGAAATGATCAAATAGCTCAGAATAGCTTATATGTTACCATCTTTGATATTAGATATGATAGTCTAATACGTAGTTGTTTTCTTTTTTTATCCCTTCGCTGTCCATCGCATTGACGTTTATGGGTAATCAGACGATTACGGCCTCGCCAGCGTATCCTTCGTTTTTGCAACATTCGATGCCGCTCTTCATTCGGGTACTTCAGGAAGGCGAAGCTCAATTTATTGCCGAACACTCAATGCAAATCACGCGGAAACTCGTTCTCGAGATTATTCACCGTCTACCCACAAACGAACACCTTCGTCCATATGTCAAACCTGTGCTCAGCGTTATGTTCAAAGTTCGTGTAACACTTCCTGCGCATATCTGTTAGGCATACGGGAAAGGACCCCTATATTTTTCAAATAACTTTAGAACTCGCCTTACAGCAATTTCAATTGAAAAATCTAAAAAAAAATATATATATATATATATATATATATATATATATATATATATAGCCCAAAAAAAGGAACCAACGTTCACAATTATACGTAGTAGAAAGAGCTAAAGTATAGATTAAATATTTCAGTTATTGGAGGTCGAAAATGAAGATAACGTGCTGGTGTGTCTACGAGTAATTATCGAACTACATAAACAATACCGGCCGCCATTCAACCCTGAGATTCAGAATTTTCTAAACTTTGTTAAGAACATTTACCGCGAGTTGCCAAATCAACTCGAGAAAATCTTTGAACCTCGTGAAGATGCCATAAAAGTGAAGGATATTTCTGAGGTATCGATGGATACACTGCTCAATGAAACGTTTACTACAACTGTCGTGCAGGTCGGCACAGGCGATGGTGAGTAGCATAGTTGAATACTTAAAGTATGTTCGTCTTCATTTATAAAAGTTCTCCTGGCCAACTAAATAGACAGAAAGTGTTTCGCTCAAAGCCAATGATGATCATCAGCATGCTAAAGGATATGTAGCGCGTACATTTCTTTACGATGAACAGAAATATCAGTTATTCGTCTTTTTGGTAAAATTTATTTTAAGAAATACAGACGGATTCAGTCCATATAGGAAGCTCTAATACATTATCTAAACTATTAACCACTTTTTCTCTTTTATTTTTTGACGCTTCTCGAAGCTGCTCCGGTGGCCGCTGTCAACATCATTCCAAAGGCCGTCCTCTCCCTCAAAGTGCTTGCCGAATTACCCATTATTGTGGTATTAATGTACCAATTGTACAAGCCTAACGTTCATCGAGACGTTGCAGAGTTTATTCCGTTGATTCTAAATACAATCGTGCTACAGCCTTCGCGGGCTCAGCAGGAGCATAAAGACTTTAACCGTGAGGTCTTTGTCGATTTTATGGCGGCGCAAATAAAAACGCTTAGTTTTCTCGCGTACATCGTCAAAATCTATCTGGAAGTGGTGAACGCTAATTCAGGCCAACTCGCCGAGGGAATGCTTGGTCTGCTAATGCTTTGCCCGCCAGAAGTGGCTCATTTACGCAAGGAGCTTCTGATTGCAGCTCGGCACATCCTTGCTACCGATCTACGGACGAAATTTGTCGGCTGCATAGATAAACTGTTTGATGAAGATATCCTTCTAGGCAATGGCTGGACGGCGAACGAAAGCCTACGGCCCTTAGCATATTCGACGTTGGCCGACCTCATCCATCACGTAAGGCAAAGCTTGCCTTTGAAGCATCTTAGTGCCGCGGTATCGGTCTTCTCGAAGAACGTGCACGACGAAACTCTGCCGATCTCAATGCAGACGATGTCGTGTAAGTTGCTTCTCAATCTCGTGGATTGTATCCGCAGCAAGTCACAAATGGCCGAGACGGAAGGATCGCAAACGGTTGGAGTCGCCGGTGCTAACAATCAAGAGAACAATGTTGTGGCTGGACGGGAACTGCTCACGCGTATGTTACAAGTGTTTGTCTTGAAATTTCGAACTATTTCGCGAGTCCAGCTTCCAGCGCTATTGAAGGCTAGCAAGCATTACAACAACACAGAGGATATCGTCCGTGCTGCGGCGGCGGCAGCAGCTGCTAGTAAGCCCGGTGAGCAAGCTCAAACGGGCGGACAAGCTTGCGGGCAAACAACCACAGGAGCTGCTGTTGTTGGAACTGCCGCAGCCGTGCTATCAGCTGCGACTGCTACGGCTGTCACATCCCAGTTAGGTCTAGTTACTGGCACCTTTCAGACACCATGTAACACTCCGAACGCTACAGGGACTTCAACTACTGCAGCCGCCGCAGCACCCTCCACAACACCTGCAGCTGTAAGTAATACAGTGGCCGAGCTAAAAAGCAGTAACGGCACCCCACAATACACGGTCGTCGACTGTCGGACCCTCATCAAGACGTTGGTGTGCGGCGTGAAGACGATCACGTGGGGAATCGGTACGTGCAAGACGGCCGCAGGTGGTGGCACTGGTGTGGGAGCCAGCGCCGACGATAAACAGTTCCAGCCAAAGGAGACGCTTATATTTATTCGCCTGGTTAAATACTCGTTGTTGACGCTCGACATGTACACGTTACCGTTGCCCGTTTCAACGGCGCAGCTGTCGGCGCATTCACTTCAGGCAGCGGGAGGTTCAGCGGCAGCACAAGCGGCCCGAGCCGCCCAGATCGCTGCAGCTGCGGCTGCTGCCCAACCCCAGAAGACGAAGGATGAGAAAGAGGTTCGTTTTATAGCATATGAAGTAAACTTAAACAAATGCAGGCAGGAGAAAAAGGCCGATAACAAAATAAGTTGCCACTCGCATTTAGGCACTAGGTCGCCATAAATATATCTGGTATGTTTCGTACCATATTGTACACATTAAATTGATCCGATTTTATCATACGTTACGATTGGTTTTAGGTGCTGGATCACCTCGGTGGGGTTTTTACTATGATGACACCAGGAATGTTTCGGGCTGTTTTCACTACGACGATCGACTACGTTGTCGAGCGGCTAAACAAGAACCCGCTTCTTCAGACGGTGGCCAACTATTTCCTTGCAAACAAAACCACTTCGTCGATATTCGCTACGATACTCGTCGAATATCTACTTGAAAGAATGGATGAAATGGGATGTAAGCGTATAACTAGCTTTATATTATTAATATTTTGATCATAATTTTTTTCTACGTATTCAATTATCAACAAATTATCAGCAAACAGGTAGGGCATATAGTAATAATAAAATTATTTCTCTTATATGGTTTCAGCGAGTATGGAAAAATCGAGTCTCTACTTGAAGCTTTTCAAGCTCGTTTTTGGCTCCGTATCGCTGTTCCCTCAAGAAAATGAGCAAATGTTAAAGCCTCATCTACACAAAATAGTCAACAGATCGATGCAGCTAGCGCTGAGCGCCAAGGAGCCGTATAATTACTTCCTCTTGTTGCGGGCCCTATTCCGTTCGATCGGTGGCGGATCGCACGATCTTCTCTACCAGGAGTTTTTGCCACTATTGCCAACACTCCTTCAAGGTTTAAATCAGTTGCAAAGTGGCCTCCACAAGCAACACATGAAGGACCTTTTTGTTGAATTATGCCTGACGGTCCCTGTGCGACTGAGCTCGCTGTTACCGTACCTGCCCATGCTAATGGATCCACTCGTTTCGGCTTTGAATGGTAGCCAAACCTTGATTAGCCAAGGCCTACGAACGCTCGAGCTGTGTGTAGACAACCTTCAGCCAGATTTCCTATATGAACATATTCAGCCGGTAAGAGCTGAACTGATGCAAGCTTTATGGAAAACCCTTCGTAACCCACAAGACAATATTGCGCAAATCGCTTTCCGTGTTCTTGGAAAGTTTGGCGGTGGTAATAGGAAAATGCTCGTTGAGCCCCAGACACTAAAATACAACGAGTACACAACCGAGGGTCCAGCAATCTTAGTGACGTTCGTGGAACACAAAATGCCTGTCTGGCTGCCCATGAATCGCCTTATTGAAACTGCCTTCGACGCCCTAAAACTTTCGACGACTGATCCGTTCTATAGGCAGCGGTGCTGGGACCTCATCAAAGGGTATCTATTATCGCATATGCAGCCTCTCGACGGCAACGTTTCCGTACAGACGCTGTTCTCCGACCCGGCGTTTGCCACTGGCCCGGTAGCACCTTACAATTTAGGCCATTATACATGTCAACATCCGTTACATCTAACTACGCATAAAATGGCTCTAACTGCCATGTTTGTCGCTGCAGCAATTAAAGAGCTTCGCGGTGAGGTGCTTCCATTTTTTGTTTCGATTGTCAACCACTACACAATGGTTGCTGTGAGTCAGCAGGCCGGTCCTTTTATGGCAGCTTATAAGCAATCGCTGCACTCCAATAAACTTAACCAAGCGAACATGGATCCGCTAGTTCTTATTGATGCGCTCGTCCAGATAATGGGCCATGAAGAAAAGGAGCTATGTAAAGTTGGCCAACTCGCATCGGTACTCATCATTGAGGCAGCATCGACGATACTCACATCGAGAGAACGAGCGGCCACGTTGCCATTCATAGAGTATTTGAGCGAAAAGATGTGCTCGCTTTGCTACGAACGGGCGTGGTACGCTAAGAGCGGTGGCTGTTACGGCATTAAAGGTCTCATGGACCGCTTGCCTCTTCGCTGGGTACTGCAGCATCAGTACCAATTCCTCAAAGCGTTACTCTTCGTAATGATGGATCTAACAAACGAAGTATCAAATGGCGCAGTCGATATGGCAAAAACAACCTTGGGAAAGCTGATTCAGCTGTGTGCTACCCCACTATCAGATGATGCGCCCGCTGATATGATTGAGGTGCAGAAAAAATCCCTAAACGACGTCACCATGGAATTGGTGCGGCAGGTGACATCGCCAAACACGTGTGTTCGTCAGCAGGCAATGAGTAGTCTACAGATGCTCGGCGATGTAACAAAATGTACTATTACAGATATTATGACACCTCACAAAGATTTACTACAGGATATGGTCCCTCCGAAAAAGCACATCTTAAAACACCAGCCGGTCAATGCGCAGATTGGTATTATGGAGGGAAATACATTCTGCACAACGCTTCAACCGCGTCTCTTCACTCTTGATCTAGATCAAAATGAACACAAGATCTTTTTCCAGGAGCTTTTGTATATCTGCGACAGTGAAGATACGGCGATCATGAAAATTGCCTGCTATAAAAACTCACAAACTCAACTAGGCGCCCTACGGAAGGCTGCCCTCAACTGTCTGGCCACGTTACATTATGTTGAAAATGAACAAAACCGTGAAAAGGTGTTTACCGTACTCTACAAAGTTCTAAATTCAAGCGACCCCGACCTGCAAGAGTCGGCGTTCCAGTGTATGAAGAAGTTTATCAGTGGCAATGGTATCAAAACGGAGACGGTGCATAAACATATTCGAGGTTTGCTCATCCATCTAGGCGACTATCGCCACCTTAATCTGAACGTCATTCAGCGTCTGAGCTACCTTACTTTACTGTTTCCTAATACTTTCAATGAAAAGTTGTGCGAACAGTTACGGCAATTGCTTCGTCGATGGTTCGAAGTCTGCATTCAGAATAAGAGTATTGGGAGGCCATTTACAACCGAGTTAAAGCAGTGCACTGCCATTATTGAGATTTTTCATCAGATTCCTGCGGCGAGTGCAGCACTTGTCGAGCCGCTGATATCGACGATTCTATCCCAGGAAAAGCAACTTATGATCGAAGCAGCATCACCTCTTCACGAACCGTTGGCGAAATTCTTGCGTATTCACCCTGAGAAGACTGTGGAGGTCCTCCTTCAAGACGCAGCTGTTCAAAGCGCTCAGCATAATCGATATCTCGAGTTCTTGTTCAAGAATGATAAAGGCCATAAGTTCCGACAAGTTCTTATCAATAAACCCAACCTCGTGGGTCGCCTTCTGGCAGTCAATCTACCTGCCGAAGGTCGTAATGTCATTATCACGAGTTTCCCGGCATTTGACATGAACACCATTCCACAGATAACAGCACAGAATGCCAAATATAACTTTGAGTATCTTGGAGTACGAGTAATTGGTCTCTTAATCAAACACGAAGATAAAACAGATTTTCTCATTAAAAACCCGATGATCGTTGCTATGCTTCGTGAAATCTGGATTTCGCCTGAGTTCCAGGCGCGTCACACACAAAGCTGTGTTGAAATCTCTGATTTTGTGCACTGGCGCACACCGAAACTCGTTGTTAAAGCTCTCTTAAATTATTGCCGACAAAATCCGAACGACGTTGAACTCCTTTTCCAATTGCTAAGAGCATTTACGAGCCGGTACATTCCAGATTTCAAGTTCCTAAAGGACTTCATCGATCATACAGTGGCGACACAGTATTCCGTCGGGTGGAAGAGAAATGCATTCTTTAAGTTCGTTAAACTGTTTGAAGAGGAGACAAACTTTCCACAGGAATTGGTCGCCAAAGTGCTTCAACGAATCATCATTCCTGCGTTTACCAATTCTTTTGAAAAAGGGGAAGGGACTGAGCTCATTGGGGGAGAGCCTGCGCCTGATCAGGATCTTGACGATAATGTAATATCCGTGTTTATTCTCAAGATTATAGACAACCCCAAAGTGACTCTTGACTCGGTAAGAACTTGGTGACATGCAGGATATTGATAAGAAGGGTTGTATACTTTTAACTTATGTCAATTGTAAATGAATGAACGGTGATTTCTAATACGATTTATAGATGATAATAATAGATGATAATACAGTAACTAATAACTGACATATGTAAGCGTCGTATAGAATGACAAGGCATATCATAAGGCTATGTTGTGCTATCAAGCCGTCTTTATATTGTATATCGTGTATAATTAATGTTAAATCAAGACATTGACGAAGAAATATTGCTATCATGTCTTTATTAGTATTATTATTATTATTATGGCGTTCGTAAAAATAATCCGATTCGTTTTTACGTATTTTATTTGAACAGGTCCGCATACTCGTTTTGCAATTATCATGCCTATTTGTCGACCAGGCATCAGCTCATATCCACGACGCAGCCAACAAACGACAGGGTATCAAACTTCGCCGCCTTATGACTTATGCCTGGCCTTGCTTGCTTACAAAGAGCTCGGTCGACCCTGCAAGCAAATATCACGGTCATCTTCTTCTAGCTCATATCATTGCTAAATTCGCCATTCACAAGAAGATCGTTCTACAGGTTTTCCACAGCTTGTTAAAGGCGCACGCAGTCGAAGCACGCGGTGTGGTTCGTCAGGCGTTAGAAATTTTAACTCCAGCAATGCCTGCCCGGATGGACGACGGAAACACTATGTTGACTCATTGGACAAAAAAAATGATTGTAGAAGAGGGTCACACGTTAGCCCAGCTGGTCCATATGTTACAGTTGTTATACAGACACCATCAACTTTACTACCCCGTACGCCATCATCTGGTCGCGCATGTGGTCAGTTCAGTACAACGACTCGGTTTCACGGCCAACGCGCAGATGGAACACAAGAAGCTTAGCGTTGATCTCGCCGAGGTGATCATTAAGTGGGAGATGCAACGAAACCGCGAGGAGCAGCAGCTACTTCAAGAACAGCAGCTGTTAGGCAATACGGCTGACGTCGATGTCGCCAACAGTCCTAATCTAAAAGCTATCGACAAAGTGCACACGGACTCTATTGTCAATTTCTTGTTGAGAATGGCCTGTCAGGTGCGACCGTGAAGTTTCACCCCACAGTACGCTGTCGCTTATGGCACAAATTGACATTACATATAAAATGTGTTGAATCCATTGGATCTTCGAAAAAAACTTTTTTAGATAAGATCATCAGCCATTGAAGTGCAAGTTCGTTTAATTAATGAAGGCTTTTTGATTTGTTTTATCTCTAGGTGAGTGATAGTGCTGTTGCGGCCGCGGCAGCTTCGAATACCGGTGCCGCAGGAAGTGGTAGCTCCTTGGGATCAGCGAACCCCGCGGGGGATGTTCTTTCCCGCCGATGTGTAGCTCTCCTTAAGAACGCCCTCAAACCAGAATTGTGGCCAAATGCTGAGCTGAAGTTAGTGTGGTTCGACAAACTTCTATTGACTATCGAAAACATCCCTGAACCGAACTTTCAAAACATCTGTACAGCCCTTGACCTACTGACGTTCCTTCTCACGATCCTGAGAAAAGAGGCCATTCTCAATTCATTCAAAAATCTTCAAAGAGGCATAGCTGCCTGTATGGCAAGCTCAAACTCGAAGGTGTGTATCATCTAAAATAGAGAAGCTTCGCAAATCCAGCTTATAGCACTTGAAGTAGATCTGAAACAAGGCATTTGATTTTTTCAAACGCCACAATAGTCAGACTCTGTCCGCTGAATATTAAGGAACTGATTAATATATTCATATATGTTCAATCATTTTCTATTACTTTCTCGTAAAGGTTCTCCGCTCGGTACATTCTCTCTTGTCTCGATTGATGGGCACCTTCCCTGCAGAGCCAAACACTCCGAAATATGAGGAACTCGATCATCTGTACACTCAAGTGTTCAAGGTCGTCTCTGACGGGTTATCAAACTACGAAAAGTTAGTATTACTGGTTTGGCGTTCTAGCAATCCAGTCTACTTATGTCAAGAATTGCTCCGGCGAACCGACAAGGCTGATCTGTGCTTGTCTGCCTTGTCAAGAAACCCATTCCACTTGAATTTTTATCTCTCAAATTGGTGTCTACTAGAAGGCATAAGACGTTTGCGTAAAGTGATGTTCATTGAGGAAGCTTACATAACGGCATTCCTTCTTGAGAAGGGGTTCTACCATCTAATGAATGTATAATTTTTGATAAATTGAATTGTTTTCGTAATTTAATTAATTACAAAGTTATTGCATTTGTGTACGCATTAACTGTAGATACATCTACATTGATGTGTAAAGTACTAAATGTAATTTTAATTTTTCTTTTGAGTGTTATGTTGTAACATTTCCACCCAATATAATCCAGTAAATAAACATCATTGTCTGTCAGCTGCTCATCATAGCAAATTTTTGCACGCGCTAGCTGATGCTGGTTATTCGGTGTGCTGGGAAAGGGGGCTATAACCACTGGCTCTCAAAAGCAAATAGCCGATAAAGAAGTTCTGTTTCACTGGGCAGCTCAGCGCCATGGCTGATGTTCAGCTCGCCGACGGGTTATATAAAGATGATGCAAACATTAAAACAAATGTTAAAAAGCTATAATTCACATTACATTCCTTAGGTATACGATTAACGGATTTAAATACATACAATATATAAGATAAACAATCACTATACGAATAACGATTTAAAATTATCCGTTTCTCCGTGCAAAAAATCTTATTGTTTTCTTTGTTATAAGATCCGTGCCATAAATCAAAAAGGTGATAACATTTCAAATGGTTTATACAGACTGCGACTTCCAAGGTGTACCAAGGGCTCAACGTAAGAGATTGAATTTTTATTTTAATTTTTCTTTCATTTCACAATATATACAAATTTCTTCGAACACGGACAATTTCACTTATCCATATGAATCATAATTTCTTGAAAGAGGTTCATTTACCTATTTGCGCACATCCGGATTTACTACAATAAAATTTACTTGACAAGGAAGATGTGACCTCCGAATACTAAAATTGATATATCGAGCCAGTGAAGAACATACTCGGTATATGTGGAATGCTCCATTTATTTTTCTAATTTCCTGCGCTTTTCTTTGATGTATTTTGTTTTTTGCAACGCAGAGTGGTGGCCAATCCACCACAGCTGTTTGGGACGTTAATGATCCTCAAGGCTGCGTGTGTCAACAACCCGTGCTATATCGACCGTCTGATCACCCCGTTTATGCGCGTGTTACAAAAGATGACTCGTGAGCATTTAGCGCCCACCACAGAGGCGAGTCCAATGGGCACAGAATTGTTAATTCTTAGCTTGGACCTCGTAAAGAACAGGGTAGGCGTGATGGCCCAGGAAATGCGGAAAGTTTTCCTTGGATCTGTTCTGGTCGGTCTCATCGAAAAGAGCCACGAATCAAAGGTGCTTAAAGCTATCACGAAAATGGTCGAGGATTGGGTGCGAAATAAGAGCCCATTCGCCGTTAATCAAAGTCCGAGCTTGCGGGAGAAGTCAATTCTACTTGTCAAAATGATGCAGTATATCGAGAAACGCTTTCCGGATGACCTTGAGTTAAACGGGCAATTCCTTGAACTAGTGAATTATGTGTACCGAGATGAATCATTCAAAAACTCTGAACTTCCATCGAAACTGGAGCCGGCCTTTATGGCTGGTTTACGATGCGTTCAACCGGCTATTCGCGCCAAATTTTTCGAAGTCTTTGACGCGTCCATTAAGAAGCGATTATACGATCGTCTCATGTATATAATCTGCTCCCAGAACTGGGAGACGATCGGCCCACATTTTTGGATTAAACAGTGCATCGAGCTCGTACTTGTTACAGCCTCTATGGACGCCAATGTCGAGACGGGTCCTGGTAGCCCACTATTGCCAGCTGTGACCTCCGTGGTAGCCCAAGCTGATCATAACATGAAGGCGGCATTTATTTTCGCCAAAGAAGAGCCAATGGATGTCGATAGTATTATGGATGCGAGCTTTTCAGCTGTACCCGATGAGCTATCTGAATTCGACCTCAATTCATCCACCGCCAAACCATCCACTGCTTCAGCAACGACCAGTGCGAGTAGCCTTCGGCAGAACATCAATCAACTTGTGATTCGGCAGAAGAAGTTCCTTGAACAGGCAGGCAAGAACGTCAAGCTTGAGCCTATTCTCTTGGCTGTAGCCCAACTGTGTCATATGGACACAACATTGGCACAACACATGTGGATACAACTCTTCCCACGCCTTTGGAAGATCCTCGGCGAAAAACAACAAAACGTCCTGAGCGTTGAGTTAACACCGTTTATTTGCTCTGGCAGCCACGTCATACAGAAGGATTGCCATCCGAACGCTATTGGAACCTTCTGTGAGGCTCTCTCGCATTGCCCTAACGTCCAGTTACGGCCGATGGTGACAAAGTACATGGGAAAATCGCACAACATGTGGCATCGAGCAACGCTGCAGCTTGAACAAATTGCTGCAAGCAATGAAAAATCTTCTAAGGGAATAAAAAGTATTCCGCCGCCCTTATCGACGGCCCCTGTAACCCCTGTGTTACCAACGCCTCCGGCTAGCGGAAGCGTTAACGTTGTGGCAACCAACCCAGATTCTACAACTGTTCCTGGTGCAGACGGGCCCGAGGTGCAAAATCTACAGCCCCCGCAAGTTTCGCTCCAACATGAGAGTCTTGATTGTTTGTCCGAGATGTACTCATTGCTCCGAGAGGAGGACCTCTTCGCCGGTCTCTGGCAGAAACGTGCCAAGTATCAGGAGACCATCAGCGGTGTTACGTACGAGCAACATGGCCTGTTTGAGCAGGCGCAGTTGGCGTACGAAGCGGCGATGGCTAAAGCGAGAACGGAATTTGCACAGAGTCCTCCGCCACTAACAATTCAGTCAGAATACCGCTTGTGGGAAGAACATTGGATTAAATGTACCAAAGAACTGAATCAGTGGGAAGTGTTACTTGAATATGGAAATAGCAAGGCCGCTCAGAACATGCATTTAGTTCTGGAAGCAGCCTGGCGGGTACCCAACTGGGTTCTGATGAAGGAAGCCCTTTCTCATGTTGAAGTATCCTGTCCTAAAGAGCTCGCTTGGAAAGTGAACCTTTATCGAGGTTACAACGCCATCTGTCATCCAGAAGAAACTCACCTGTCTTTGATTGATCGTCTTGTGAGTATATGGTCATGGTTATGAGCAACTACTATATGTGTATATGGATAAGATTAAACTAGAAAATCCTGCAGTAAATAACTGAAAATCACTTAGAGATTTAAACTGTTGCTATACAGACGTTGAAAATGTACCAAATATACAAGTGGTATATATTCCCCAGTTTTAACCATTGTGTGTGCCTTATTTCCATCTCCATCTACTTCATAAACAGGTCGAGGTTGTCACTTCATGCTGCATTCGGGAGTGGCGTCGTTTGCCACCGGTCGTATCGTCTATGCATGTGGGCATGCTGCAGGCCGCCCAGCAGGTTATGGAACTTCAAGAAGCTGCCCAAATCCACCAAGGCCTCGCACCAACTGGCAGCGGAGCCGCCACTACGCCGTTGAACCGCGCATCACTATGTGATATGCGTGCTATTGTGAAAACGTGGCGAAATCGTCTGCCAGTGCTGAGTGATGATCTGTCGCACTGGAACGATATCTTCACATGGCGACAGCTACATTACCAAGCCATCGTTAGCCATTTTGAAGGCGCGCAAAATGCCAACTCAGTTACGGGTGGTGACACTCAAACACAAACAAACAGTGCGATGATAGGTGTCCACGCTTCCGCATCAACAATCATTCATTACGGGAAGGTGGCCCGTAAACACGGCCTTAGCGGGGTCTGTCTAGATTCACTTAATAAGATCCATACAATTCCATCGGTACCGATCCTTGACTGTTTCCAAAAGATTCGTCAGCAAGTTAAATGTTATCTTCATATGAGCGGTACTGGAGGAACTGGGACGTCAGGTGTCACTAGCAGCTCAAACAGTAGTAGAGGTAAAAACGAACTGCAAGAAGGTCTGGATGTGATAGAAAGCACCAATCTGAAGTACTTCGGCAAGGAGATGACAGCAGAATTCTATGCGCTGAAAGGCATGTTTCTAGCTCAACTAGGCCGTTCTAGTGAGGCAAACAAGGCCTTTTCGGCAGCCATTCAAATGTTCGATGGCCTCAATAAAGGTAAAAACCGTTAGATGGTTTGTAGTCCTAGCAGTACGACTCCCCTCCTAGCACCTACACTGCACTGTGCTTTATTATATATATTACGCTGTCTAAAGTTAGGTAGTGTTAAAGGTTAAACGTTTTCCCTCTTTCGTTGGTTATACAAGCGAGGCATTATGGTATTTTTTAAAATATGCAAACTTTCGTGTTCTATGGCTATAGCTTCACCTACCAATGTCTTTCCACTTAAATAAAGGTCAACAATTGTCATTCGTGAATTCACTCCATAATCTATCATTTTCAGGTTGGGCTCTATGGGGAGACTACCTCGAAGCGCTGTTCACGAAAGATGCGTTTGCGGATCGTAATATGCAACTCGGAGAATTTGCTGTAACCTGCTACCTGCATGCAGCGCGCACTCAAAACGAAGCCAAGGCACGCAAATATCTCGCCAAACTCATATGGTTACTTACATTTGATAGTGAAAAGTTCCAATTAAGCGAGTGCGTTGACCAGTACTTTAACGGTGTACCACCGCACCTTTGGCTACCTTGGGTTCCACAACTTCTCACATGTCTCGTCCGCCAAGAAGGTAAACTCCTATTGACCCTATTATCAACGGTAGGTCGGGTTTACCCACAAGCGGTATACTTTCCAATTCGTACACTCTATCTTACACTCAAGGTAGAGCAACGTGAGCGTTATCGAAGCAGTGAGGCGGACAGACCTCGGCAAGCAGCTCCGGTTGTGGGTGGCAATAATAGCCAATCAGCGGCCACTGCAGGGGCAGCTCAAGCTACAGCTAATGGTCAGGCCCAAGTTGCCGTGACACCTGCAGCAACTACTAGCAATCAGTTCAGGGCCACTCCGTCCATGTGGCGCTGCTCGAAGATCATGCACATGCAGCGAGACCTTCATCCCACGCTGTTGTCAAGCATCGAAGGCATTGTCGATCAGCTCGTTTGGTTCCGTGAGAACTGGTACGAAGAGGTACTCCGTCAACTTAAGCAAGCTCTAGCAAAATGCCTAGCCGTGGCTTTTGAGCATCGGATGCAAATCAACGAAGCGACGGTAACGCCACATACACTTAACTTTGTCAAAAAACTCGTGTCAACGTTCGGTGTTGGTATTGAGAGCGTTGTGGGTGGTGGCGGGGTGTCCAGCTATTCAACGTCAGCCAGTGAAAGCTTGGCACGTCGGGTGCAAGCCACCTCGCAGGATCCCGTGTTTCAAAAGATGAAGGTGCAGTTCACAGCCGATTTCGATTTCGGTACAGCACAAGCCATGAAGCTGCACAATCTTATTAATAAGCTGAAGAAATGGATAAAGATCCTCGAAGCTAAGGCCAAATTACTACCAAAATCAACCCTCGTTGAGGAGAAATGCAGGTTCATGTCAAACTTTTCTCCGCACACTGCCGAAGTCGCCCTACCTGGGGAATTTCTACTGCCCAAGGCCAATAACTATTACGTGCGGATTGCGCGTTTCATGCCCCGTGTCGAAATCGTTCACAAACACAACACAGCTGCGCGTCGTCTATCGATTCGTGGCCAAAATGGTAAACTTTATCCATACCTTGTAGTAAATGACGCCTGCTTAAGTGACGCACGACGCGAGGAACGTGTTCTGCAGTTGCTACGTATGCTTAACCAGCTATTAGCGCGACAAAAGGAGACGGCGCGCCGTGGACTCAACTTCACGGTGCCCCGAGTCGTTGCTGTAAGTCCACAAATGCGCCTCGTCGAAGACAATCCCTGCTCATTGTCACTAGTCGACATCTACAAACAGCGTTGTCTGGCACGCAATATCGAGTACGACACACCAATAGGAAAATACTACGAAAAGTTGGCATCAGTTCAAGCGCGTGGCGGTTCCTGCGGTCATCAGGTACTCAAAGACATCTTGCGAGACATACAGACTAGCCAAGTGCCTCGCACCCTGCTCAAGGAATGGGCACAGGCCACCTACCCTGATCCAACCGACTACTGGACATTCCGTAAACAGTTTACGTTACAACTGGCATTATGCGGGCTGGTTGAGTTCGTTCTACAGCTCACACGGCTCTCGCCAGATATGGTGTACATCCACCAGGACAGTGGCTTTGTGCATGCTGCTTATTATAAGTTTGACGTAGCGGACGCCACAGGCGAACTCGATCACAATCGGCCCGTGCCGTTCCGACTAACGCCTAACATGGCCGAGCTTGTGGGGACGGTTGGTGTGCAGGGTCCTATGTGCGCAGCTGTTGTTGCCGTGGCTCGCTGCTTAAGCCAACCATCATTTACAGCTCTACTCAGAGCTATTCTGCGCGACGAAATTATCACCTGGCATAAGAAGAACTACGATGAAGCTGGCACCGGTAGCGAAGGACCCCCTGATATGGACGGAGAACAGCTTGTTGCAACAGTGTCTAAGGCGGTGGCGGCCATCACAACTAGGCTTAATAGTAAGTACAGCATAATTATCATAACTTAGCGTTTTTTGCTAAAAAAATTTGATGCACAAGACGGATGTGACTGAAAATCGCATTGTACGTTCAGAGGCAAAAAAGGCCAATTGTCTCGTCAAACTAATAACATCTTCTCAGTATACATGCAAATTATAAAATACAGCAAAATTTAATCAGATCAAAACCAATTTATGATGCGTTCCTAATTGAATATACTGATTGACTAATTTAAGTTTGTAGTTTTTATTGTTCAGAGAGTACACGCCGCTAAATATGCAAAATATGATCAATAACAAAACTGACGATCGATTTCTTTTATAATATTTACCAGGTTTGACATCATACGAAAGCGGTGAAAGCAGCAAAGTACAGGCTTTGTTAGCGGCCGCCTCAAACCCGGAGAACCTTTGCCGCATGGATCCTGCATGGCATCCATGGTTGTAAATCTGTGTTTCAGATGAAAAATCCATATGCCGAAAATTCAGTTGTCCTAAATCATAAGACATCTGGGGCTTTAGATAGGTGGGCAATAGATGCTTTTCGAACAACAATAAAGATAACATTTTTAGATAAATATAGGCGCTGGTAATACCCATGTTGCAGAACCACTATTAAACACACGTACTCATATAACCCATAAAAAACAATAATAGTATTAATTATAATGTTGGAGAGAGAAAGATGTTACAATACGTAAAATGAATTGACTATTATATCATTCATACAAGATAGGACGTAACTAGCAATATAGCGCTGCGGGACTTTTCACGTCGCATGCATCTCAGCCGAGATTTGTGATAAACATGGTACTATGTACATTTAATTTTTTCCGCACCGGTACACTTACATTGAGGATGTACCAGCAAATTTACTTTAGTATTAATCGACCGATTAATTTAATTAGTTATTGATTTTTCAATATTGTTCTAATATTCTGGAAACGCGGCATATAAATATATTTTTGTGTAGATGACTTGTTTGCGCGGTATGGTGTCGTAAGGAAGTGCATAAGCACATCTATTAAAGTGTCGCTCTTCAAGCGATTATGGGTGGATGGATGAATGAATCCCTCTAATATTTGACATATCGTTTATCACTTGGCATCCATCACTCAACACTGTATACAGACAATAGCAATGAAGAGAAATCAATTAATTATCAATAAATTACCAACAGTTTGTTGACCGTAAATATGACCGTGTAGTTATTTATAGCTAGAGTCAAAAACGTATTGTATATTTTATATATAAATTTGCGTCCGTTACTGCGAAGTCACGTCTATTGTTTTTGTAGGAACAGGTGGTGTCCACGGTGGGGGGGTCTAGGGCGGAAACCATAGCGCCACCAAATGTAGCGCCCGAAGTAGTTATCGTGACACTTTCAGCATGATCGGGGAACTTATTTCATTGTGCAACAATAATGGAAAAAAGTGCCATAGTGTATGCTACATTGTAAAGAATGTTGACGTTGTAGGGTTGAAATAAAACGAAAGGTATAAATGCATCTCGTAGATGACATTTATTCGCCATTACTTTTCCATTCCACGCGAATTCGTCGCGCAAAGCAGACGACGCAGACGACGCTCTCAGGTAACAACAACAACTAACTAGATTCGTTCGTACTGAGGGGCTAGTTCGTCGACACTGGCCAGCTATTCCGGACGTACCACGGTGGTAACAAACAGCGGAGGGCTCAAACGTACAATGATTATGGACAGCGATCCGATTCGGGGAGAGCCGGTCATCGATATTATTGATGACGCCTGGCGGTTTGACCAACTTCCAAAAGGTAAAACAAGCAGACTTCTATACCCTAAAGTTGAAATGGAAAAATGATTAATAACATTCAGTACATTGAATTTCTATCTTTGTATTTCAAATAGGTCATCATCCAAAAGGTAGCAGTTAATTCACTTAAAAAAACACATGTTTTTTTCTATAAATAATCGTTGACTAATGCTTAATGAGAATACGAAAAGTTCATACTTGTGACTTAATCAATTTTTAGTAAGTTTGATCTACGATGCGTGAGTTAATATTTTTTGCCCATAAGCCATTTGTATAGCTATTAAACAAATTTGTTTAACTTGAATCATATCTGACATGATTAGTTGCATCCGAAATTGTGACGCAGCCATCACTGTTGCGTTGAAAAATTGATTTCAGGTAACCCAGAAGTGTAGAGCGGTTATTTCTTTGGTAAAAAGGACGACTTGGTATAAATATAAGAAAAACATCCATCATGTACCAACAGATACACATATTTGTGTCTGTTATCGTATAACTGTTTGTTGAGCCGTTTTTGTGGGACATTTTATCTAGTTATGACTGTTATTTTTACGCGAATATACATTCGCATACTTGCTTGAAACTACTTTTTTTTAAACATACACATTTTTGTTAATGTTATACAAAATTTTGTTAACTTCTTATTGCTTTTGACAATAAACTCATGGTTAGGCGAGGTGCGGGTTCCTGTCGAAGAGCTGCCGGATCCCGAACCAGATAATGGGAACCCTTTAGAAACTCTACGTGAGCAGGAAATGAAATGGAATGACTTCGCCCTGAATCGTCTTCAGGCTCAGCCAGATGCATCGCCATAAAGACCACTGCAACTCCATTGACATGAGTCGTCTGAAAAACGCAGACGTCTCTTTCTAGACTGTATATTAACGCGTATATCCCGCTTAGAAAATATATTTTTATGAATCAAATGGAATAAGAAAGTGATTTGGCAAGTTTTTGGCGATTACTTCATTCATAGGTGTATTGCATCAGCTAACAAATCGTCATATTTCAAGTTCACTTAAAATTGTGTTTCTTAAGTCTAATAATACGAATCCCGCTTCAGGAAACTGAAGCCCCTAGCATAAGTGTTTCTGATATGAATAGTACTGTCTGTGCTGCACAGGAGATTATTTTGAATGCTGGGCAAGTAGAGAGCGTTAATATGAAGACAAGCAAAGCACATTTTGTTTGCATTGTAGTTAATGAAAAAGGAGAATCTCAGTTGGGTATTGGACAGAGGATCTTGTTAGACCCAACTCAGTGCGATAACTAAATCAAGTACGGAAAGATAATAATTCGATAGAAGTCGAATGAAAACGACCTAACCAAGAGCTTTTGTCATTTAAACGCAAGCATACCTTTGGTTCAAACCAGTGCATGGTTACTTTTCTTATTGGAAAATATGACCGTATCAAAATCCACATCTAGTAATGCGACATCTTAAAGAAATTTGTCAAAGATAAGTTTATATCTTGTTAAGCGATTGAAGTTCAACCTAATAATATTTCATAGTCCATAATTTTATTCTGAATCCTACCAACAACAGATTACGTACAATCCATACCTAGCCTGTACTTAGTATGTACTCACTTTAGCTAAACACGTATTGTTTTCACTAGCAATTTCATTCAAATTTTAGCGCCACACTCATGTCAACAAACGCACTTCTTTTAAGTCAACTATTGGACGCAATGTTTTCTTTACTCTTCGTGACGGAGTCAGCAAACAAATAGAGCCCTGCGCTGAGTTAAGCGTCAGTTGCGAAGTATCACTGGACTTACTGTGCAGATTGGATGCATGTGTGTATGCGTATAGTAGTTATCCATAGTTGTGGTGCTTTGATTCATTAGACGTTCAAGTAGTGTGCGCGATGGCGGACGGGGTGCTTACGACGCTGAAGATTCTGTTGATTGGCGAAACGAGCACTGGAAAAAGTTGGTTAGTTAACTTCTACATGTAGTCTTTAATAAAACTAATCTGGTAGGAGAAGCGGTTGTAGCAGTAATTAACGATGGGCTTTTCCGTCCTGTATGTCAGGCGTTTCCGCAAATAAGTAATCGCTAATGGCTCAGCCAATGGCTACTGTCCAGTTAATGTCAATTGGCCTTGCAAAGGTTGTCATAAAAACTGCTATGAGGATTGACTAAACGTGGAGATCTAAATTCTGGTGATAATAAGAAATAAGATAACGAATAAAGTTAGGAAATCTGTGAAGTGAAAGGAAATACATGTCAGCCGTTGGAGGAGTGCACTTATGAAATATCTAAATTAGCTTTATAATATTCCACTTTGCCGTTTGAAATTGCTCAGGACTCGGGAATCAACATGTATTAAATCGCTGTCTCCTACTATAATATATTGTAGTCCTCTGTGAGTTATCTTCACGTAACATAAGAATCCACATTCATGCTGTTGTTGTATCAGGAGCTGTTCCTCTCTGGTTAGGAGTCGTTGGCTATGCTATACATATTATGATAACGATCTTGTCTAACACTATTAAATACACAGTTAGTTTGAAAAGCCATCATGCAATGTAGCTTTTTAAGAAGCAAAGCTCTACGAAATCGCAATGGTACGTGTGAATTTGCCCTTTGTGTATTTGCGACTAGCTTGAGTAAAATCTTTACTAACCTAGTGGAAGGTGTATTGCCAATAGTGCATTACGGTACAAAAGGTCATTACTGCCGCTGCTCATTAATGGCATATCATTATCGCGTTCATAGTGGGTTCAATCTACCTTTCACAATCATCAGAAAATTCCTCATTGTAAAGATGAACCTCTGCTTGCACTCAAGCCCACTAATGCAAAAACAGATTCGAATATTGCCTAGATGAACAATAATTATAATAATTATAATAATTATCATTAGCCTTAGGCACAGGACAGAGCGCTAATTGGCTTTAGCAACTTGTTAATTACGTTCATAACAGACATAGAAATCTAGAGCTTCTGTTCTGGTAATATCTAGATATAACTAGATATACTATCTAGTAGCATCTAACGCAGATGCATTGTAGAAAAAAAATGATACGATTTTAGCCGTTCAAAAGCACGTTAGCGAAACAATGTACTAAACCATGATTTTTTTTACTTCGCAGGCTAAGTTTTTAGTGACACGGGGTTTAGAGTGATCTTAACGCGGAGAAATGCGCTCAATAAAGACATTGTTCCATTAGCCCATGCCAACGAGTGAGTTTTTACGTAATCTCAACTCAATTCGAGTTAATCACATTTTAAAAGGGCCAAGTGTCCTTGTTAGAATTCTTCAAACCATTCTTCTAGAATGCATTGTTTTAGTTGTAACCACTGTGTTGCGTGTCCTCAAAAAATTGGTTGGGAGGTCAATGAAGTCAAATTTTCAAATTCAGTTTCGCAGGCTTCGCCTCGCGTTTACTTAGCTATTGAACACATTTTATTTAACCTATGTGAACGTAAAAAATTATCATCATAAAAAGACATCAAATAATAACCCGGTATTCCCTAATTGCTTTTTCCACAACAGAGTTTAAACGCAGTTTTAACACATGATAAGAACGCTTGTTCTAGTAACATAGTGTTCGCAGAAATTTACATCGATCGAAATGATAGATCAAAGCGGACGATGTTGATGGCCGCCTTCGTGTTTAACGGGGGCACAGCGTTTTTTTCGAACGTGGGAAACGAAAAGGAACTTGCTGGCTTCGGTTTATAACCAACTTAATACATCTGCTCTACCAGGAAGAACAGTTTGTTTAGAACGAGCAAAGCTATTTGTCTAATCGACTTCCTAACAGCTCTTCCCAGGATAAAACTCTAGTGAGCCACGGAAAATTAGCTTAATAAGGGGCTGTTTTGAGTAATACAAACTCGTGAATCATGCGTTTAGTGGTATAGTAGATAATAGGAAATCATGTCGGATGTTTGTCATAATATGAGTAGGGAATAATGCACAATATTATGTTGTGCGATGCGGTGTATAATGATATGGTCGCCTTCATGGTTTGTGGTTGTAGGGTTATGGTTTTCCGTTAAAACAGAAATTTATACCAAGGAGTCGTTAAAAACAGCAACAAGTTATTTTCTTATCTTAAATGTGCAGATGTTTCTATTTCCCACATTGTCGCTACTGGCTATATCTTTTTTACATAGATTGTACGTTTAGGTCGGCGTTTATTGGTATGCCAGCAGGTTTCTAATTCTCTTCCCATGCTCTATGAGAATGCGTGTATTTTGGAATACTTGCCCGTTTCCGCAAGTGCTGCTGATCTTGGTCTTTTTGTAGCGTTTAATGAGGAAAATATTGATCACATGCAGAAACATTTATATTTTTTTTATACAGTTTTCTTCACAAGTGACATCCGTGCTTACGTCCTCATAAATCATTAATTATTGGATATTCGTTGGTAGATATTGGAAATAATTCTAGCCGTCGGCAAAAAAAAATTTTGCATAGTTATTAATGTGTAGTCCCAGAATAGAAGCATCTATACCGCGCTCTATAGGGCGCACAAATTCAAAATTCTTTCCGTTGTTAGAATTCGTCTGTCGTTGTGCCAAGCTCTGTGCAACAGCGGTGTAAGGTGAAACCATTCGGACCTAATGTAAGCCTTTTATCGTACTATGGATATAGCTATTCAGCAATAAAATTAATATATAGAATAGAAGCACTCAACTTTTCAGCAGTTGTGTAAACTTGCCATTTGTTTTGTGTGATTTACAGAAATAATCATTTTCGTAGACCGTAAGTGCAGCATGTTTTCTCTAATGAGCACCCCTTTCAATCAACAAGGACTATACTCCATTTCTAATTGATCTCCAACTTATGAGGGAATAACATTATTATACGTTACCTTGTTGCGTGAATAGATGAACCTACAAGCTGCAGCTATATGCTAGATAATGTAACGTTGTTGCATTTCATTTGAAGAAGCAGTATAAACAATGACTAGTCAAAAACTTGGGAAATAGACAAAGAAAAAGCACCGAAAAAACACTGCCGTATTGCGTAAGCTTAGATTATGGGCGATCTCGTTTAGTATTCCGTAGAGTTGCTACCTTTGGAAAGCCTTATAAATGAATAATCCGAATGAGCACTATGTGGTTTCTAACATAATAAAGCCATCTATGACCAATTCGGCTAGATTGTTATTCGCACCTCAATTTTTTTGTCATGTTTTGCTTATAGAGATTATTTTCTCTGACAAGAGATCTTAGGTGCATAACAATAAGCATTGTATCCATTATGGATAAATGTGTCATATTAACATATTATACATTGAAATAATCATTTTAATTCTTGTTGTCTAACCTATTTATTCATCGGGCTCTTATTTTGAAATCAAAAAATACAGGTGTCTTTCTACGATGTTGTTAATTCGATGTCGCGACCTACTTCTTGCAACATAATAGCCTGTGTGTTCTCATTTGTGTGAATTGTCTTATTCGCCTATATATAATAGTAAATTACTTCCTAGTTACATGAAGCAATATGAAAAAACACATTTGCCATAACTGGGTCGACTGTCCACCGAAGTGAAAATTAAAGTCGGCGGATTTTGTTTTAGCTCCTGGCTAAAATAGCACAGTTACTGTGTTCGTGTCCACTAACTCCGCGCTATCACATTTTTAGCCTGCTGCTCCGTTTCTATGAGAACGTATTCGATGAGTTCCTCAGCTCAACAATTGGTTTCGATCATAAATCGAAAACGATAACGGTTTGCAACCAGTCGGTCAAACTCAGTCTCTGGGACACTGCCGGTTCTGAGCGATTTCGCACCCTCACTGCAAGTTATTACCGTGACGCCCACGGAGCTGTTTTAGGTAAGGAATACTTCACACATTGAATTTTTTATATAATACTAATATGTCTATATCGAGCGGTTTGCTTCTCTTTGGCAGTGAACGGTAATTAGAACTAGCGATCCGTGTATTTAACACTATCCTTAACAGTTTAGGGGCCTAACATGGCCGCGGACTTGAACACCCCTGCCCTTTATTCATTTGAGAATAGATCATGAATTTACTAATGCTCCCTGACTGAAACATAGCACGATAAAGAATTTCCAGTTTGGGACCGCGCGTCTTTGTGTGATACTTGCAGTTTATGATATAACGAACCGAGAGTCATTCGAGAAACTGAATTTATGGCAGAAGGAGTTGGACATGTACACGACGCATGGAAATATTGTTCGGATGCTGGTCGGTAATAAAGTCGACAAGGAATCAGAGCGAAAAGTCACGAAAGAGGAGGGAATCCAATATGCTCGAAGACACCAGATGCTATTCGTAGAAACGTCAGCACGAACATCCGAGAACGTTGTTGATTGTTTTGAAGAACTCGTCGCAAAGGTAAGTGCCTCAAAGGATTACTAGAGATTTATCTATGGTGGTGCGAGGTTTTTGCTTGCACCTTGCGGTGTATATGTTCACTACAGTAGTATCCCTAATGCGTACCTCAACTGTGTGTATAAACTGTCTGCGATTTAAGCAAGCGATCAGTTCAACAAATGCTTTTTCGCTGTGTTGATGCTAAGAGACAACGTCATATGCGAGTAGAATCAAAAGCTTCTTTTAATTCCACTATTTCAGATTCTGCAGACCCCTGATCTTTGGGAACGTCGAAAGGATAGCATCCGATTAAAAACATCCAATGAAAGTAGTGCGTTTAGCTATTGCAGTTACTGTTGATATTAACTTTCGGCGTACTGGAATTGAGAAGCAGCAACCATGTGAAGTAAACCGTAATGCACGAGAAAATTAGACAGCTTAAAAAGAGCTCACATGTGGGCATTTTACAACAGTAGCACCATGTAAATACATAGAAGATAAAATAAGATTTCCATAAGACAACAAGGCTTAAGGATTTAGCTGATCTTCATTGTTATGTGGTAGGTGACATAATGAAAGGAATAAGAGGATTATATAACCGTCATCAATAAAATCGATATATAATTGTGGTTCAGAAAATTTGTATCCTATAACTAATAAAAGTGCTTTTTTGAACAATTTAAAAATATACTTGTCTTTTTTTTTGAGGTTCTTTCTGCTGTACCAATATACATTATATATCAATTAAATTTGTTCGTGCCTTTTTCCTTGTCAAAAAAATACCTCATTTTCTTGCAAGATAACATTCTCCTCTGTGGCTATAACAGCCTAAGCATAATTATAAATCTTGCGGTACTTAAGTTTGTACCCAACTTTGCACAGGTTTTTATAGGGCAATTTGGCAAGGAAAAGTCGTAAATCAAAGTCTACTTTAGCTAATGATAACATTGACTTACTTGGCGTGTTATTACATATATATCACAGTTTGTTTTACAAATTTGTCAAAAGCAGGTTTGGAAAATGCATACGAGTGACGATATTTCATGGGACGTTCATTTTGCCACAAAGTCATTACCTGTTACTGTTGCTATTTTCTACAAAGACTTTCAAACAAGAACTAAGGTGGTCAACACTTTAAAGCTATAAGATCGATTCTTATTCTCCTTGTATTTGAAAGCCGATATAAAGCATTCAATTTCTGTTTCCTACATTGATAATCAAAATGTTTTAAAATATCAACAACGTTCACACAAAATAAATCTTCAAGGTAGATTTCGCCAAATATACGCTAACAAATGATGAAAAATATCTATGCAAACACATTAAACTAGTGAAATTTGACTTACTTCATCCTGCCGTATTTCTGCCGATGCAGTAGTATGTAACACGGTGTTACTATAAGGTAATAATATTCTATATTGTTATTGAACAGAACAAATATTAAGTAGCCAGAATTGCTTCTAAATACGTTTTGAAAAAGAGCTGTAGAAAGTAATGAGTATATGGCGCAATACATTTTTTTTCACTTCTAGAAAAGGCTTAAACGATTGCATACAAGAGCGTAAAAGAACGTCCTGTACTTGGAGTTTACGTTCCGTTTTAAACCCACATAATAGATAAAACAAAAGGAAGTTTTGTAAGTTTTGGAAATTGTAGTGTCTAAAAATAAACCATCTACTAACTATTATTATTTAGTTAATCTGCTGTATCCCTCCGAATCCTTATAACACGCATATCTTGTTATTAGCGACTTTACTAGCTACGTCGGTTGTCGCTGCATTTAATCACACCTGTTACCTAGAATACACCATAGCGGGGCTTCAACTAGCGATTCCTAGCATTTTCAGCGAGGGGTTAACCATCTGAGGCTCTACGCTGACAAATGACATAATACATATATCGATTATTTTTCCTATCGATCAGATCTGCAAGACGATCGTTGTATCAACCACTCGCGAAATGGACTATGACATATAGTGTTAATATGTTCGCAACTAATTTGAGTTTTTATGTAACGATGGTAAGCCCTTATCTACGGCTTGTATAACCAGCGCAGACTATATCAGTTGTAGTAGACCAACGACAGCGTTGCACCATGTAAGTTATCTAGCGGCTGCGCCTAAAGTGCCAACTGGTTGTAGTTGCTTTTCATCGCAGTAGCAGAATTTCAAAAGAGCCGCGCTTTATTTATTACTAACATAACGCCGCTCTACAGAATCAGCTGATTGGAATAGAACAAATCGCACCCGTCAATATAAGAGTGTATGGAATATGTATGGAAAGTGGTGAAAGACGTGAAGGCGCAAGGAATAACCTAATTTATGTTGCCCATGTTTTTAATTAAATCTTTGTGAAGTAAGGTCTAGTGAGCATGACCTAGAAACGGAATTTCGCTTATAAGGTGAGCTTGTTAAATGCCATATATCTATCAAAAGAAACAGATGGACGACATTTTACAATGTGGCGTTTATTGTACTAGAGGTTATAATGATCAGCCGTTCTCCTACTTAGAAACAATGTGGCCAGTGTCATTGTTGAGATCTTTCTAAAGCAATTGATTTATGTGTATAAATATGTGGAATATGACGCCTCTAGCGTGACCTGCTAAAGCAGAGGGATTCAACTCGCGGGTCTTTGCTGATACTCCAGGAAATCTGTCTTCAGACATCATGTTATAGATTATAGACGGTTTTCGTGAGTTATTTTGCGTCTAGAGAAGTTTTGGACAAGATTCGTTTGATACCTTAGTATGCCTAATATATCGCATATAGCTGCATATAATAGGAACTGTGCTTAGTTGCATAGAGCGTAGCAATGCTTTTGTTTTAACTTCTCTAGGGCACACAGACATCCGAAAAAAGAACCAGCTATTTCTTACATAACGCAGTGAAACTTTCATGGTTAGAAAAAGTCATATTTTCAAGTACGCTCACTTTTGTGCCCAATTTTTCTGCTAGTGCATTCACTACTGCCATCCTCGATAGGTACACTTAGCGCTTTAGGATTTGTAATTGTATCGATCACTTTTGAACATTTACCTGCAACTGCGTAAGGCAGGCGTGTTTCTATAAAAGTTCTTATGCAAGATGAGACGTAAATTTAGTAGTATAGTAATAAAAATTAGGATTCTTTAAAAATATATTACTGGAAGAAAAATATTTAGATAAACTATGATCTCTCACTGCAGTATAACTGACTGGATGTATTTATAATTTGACGCTTAGTGTTGATTATATATAGATATTAATTGAGCACCAATGGTAGCATGTGAATAGGAACAGCGAGAATATATCATTTTTTTATATTTGATTTCCATTACTTCGTTAGTCAATCCCTGGTGGATGTCACGACTTATTTAACTCATAAAAGTGAAAAGGTAAAGTTACAAAACGCTATACATTATTCGTGCTTACATTAGTTTTTTTCTGTCATGCTTATTTATTGCTTCTTCTTTCTCGGTATCCCTGTTTTTATCATCTATAGCTAATATTAAAATAGCTCAGTTTTATACAGAACCTAAGAAATAGAAAATGTTGTGCTACGCGTTTTTACTTTGACTGTAGCATTATGCTAATGAACATTTATGGAGCTACGTACTATCATGGACACTATTGAAAGGCCGTTACTCTTTGCGGTAAAACCGAAAAATGTATCTATACATATTACATTGAAGCTCATGGTACTCACAGCCATGAGAAACATGAAAGATATACATCTAGTCTAGTCGAGCAGCCTTGCCGGGTTTGTGGGGTAATAGGTTGGTACGTCGGATAATAATTATATAGCATATTTCAAATCCAGTTTAATTATAAACGATTAAATGGGTAGTGCATTTTTAAAAATCAGATATTTTGTTCTATAGGAAAAATACAGAACGTTTCAAGAAACGTAAACAACTCCGCTTGTGTAATATGACAGACTATGCTTAAGCTACATTATGGATGAAGCTATTAGGTTGCAACTATTAGCTGATAACACGCTGTTACCTGATTGTATATGAGTGCTAGCTTTTTACTTCTACACAGGTAAAATGAAATGGCCTTAATAGCAAAATAGGTTCGAGGCGAAGTCCGTGCCGGGTAGCGCTTTAGTGTAACAAAAAATCAAAGCAACCAGATATTAATATAACTTGTTTCTTCTGCTGTCAAATGAAGCCAGCTAGCTAGTGTCAACCTTTTTGTACGAGCCGACAGAAAGTGTTTAGGCGACGTGTTTATCAACACAGCAATTTGGGGCTTTCACTTCAGGGCTTAAACTGCTCTCACAAGTATTTTATGATAATTCCTTTTCAAAGCTCACAGAGTATACTTTTAAGCAAATTGGCACGTTTCGACTCATTAAACTTTTGCTTAAGCGTGCCATACATAGCAAATGTAATAAGCATTTATCTCAGAGTGGCAGAAGCCCAGAAGCTCTAAAAAAGCAAAGCATAGTGAAAAACGAAAACAAAAAGTCAAAAAAGGCCAAACATTGTAATTTATATGGATGATTTTATAGGGTATACTCTCATCTCATCCCCGTGATGCTACAACGATAATCTATCTGTTTACTAGCTTACACATGTAGTGATCTAGGTTTGAAATTGGACGTCGACACATTTTGTTTCTTGCTGGAAGCCAGCCGTTGCCAGCAATAGTTAATGATAATACCAAACGAAAAATTCAAAACATTTATTTAGATAACTTTATCTTAAAAACACCCACTAAAGTTTGCGTAGAAATTCCGGGATCATCAGAAATGGAGTTCTATGTTCCTTTAGGTAAATCTGATTCTTTTTGTCTAATCCTTAATACAGACCTTCTAGACTAACTTATGAAAACATTTCCAGGATTCTTCAGGAATAGTCGATTCAATAAGTTTATAAGCCTTGTGGGAACATCGGACAATAGCTGATTTTCGCTCATATTCCAACAATGGAACTTCTGCGTCCGTCGTGATGCTTTTATAACTTATGTTCCAGAAGAAATTAGCTGTATTCAAGTACCAAGAATAGCGAATAAACGCATGCGCGCCACCACAAGCAACTCCAGAAGATATGTCCTAATCTATTCCGAATACTGACGACACATGTGCTTTTGTGAGGTGATTTTAGCATTGCGAGTCACTCTCAATGCGGTGAGGAGGCTCTGTACCTCTTTGCAGCCGTAAAAAGGTTCCGCTTTATGCAAGGTTATTACTATTACTCTTACATCATGCAAATGATATTATAATTGGTTAGCTGAACCACAAGGTATTTAAGTATGCTTAACTGTTTACACCCTACAGAATATTCCCAAATGCGCGTGTTCGCGAAATTGCCAGAACTCCGGCAAACATAATATTTGCCAGGTCGATTATTTAAGCTGCTTTTACATCGAATTCCCAAGACGCTATCGGTAAATCTTGATGAAAAAGTGAAAACATTTCGTGAACGCGATTTTATGATGAAAACTCATAGTTAAGGGTTAATGTAATTACTATATTCGATTTTATTGATGCAGGATGTCGACAGACGGGTCCGGTGAGGGCTCAGCAACGCCAGCGTCAAGTCGTTCCGTTGCGCCGGCAATACCGAAGGTCCCCGGACTAATATCTGCCTATCTCACATCATGGAACCATTTGATGGGTCCGCAGATGCTTTTCTGTTGGCAAATCGAGTGCTCAGACACCGATTCAGCTGTTGCCAAGGATGGCCGGCCCCACACAACGTGCGGGGACAGTCACTATTTAAAATGCCATCAGTACCTAGAAAACGCCGAGGCTTTTATTCTTGAAGGTCGAGTACCACAGTACAACAAATATCTAAATGAGGTCAATGTCGAGGCCAGCTACACGGCGAATATTGTTCAACTACTTCATGGGTACTTAGAATACTGTAGGCTGCGGAAGGAACCATGGCCAACGCGAACCCTCCTACTGATCGCTGCTGACAAACGTGTCGTTGTGCACAGTGTCACATTTACGCTTCCATCGTGTACAAAATCATTAGGAGTATCACTGGTTTTTGATCTCGATTGTTTGTGGGATCTGTACAATATTCTAAACCTGACCGATACGACACTCATTCGAATAGCGCATATCTGCACTCAAGCTGGCGACCAATTCCTTCGCTGTATCAATCAGGTCACCACACTGCTCAATAGGTAAGTGTTTCCAAGCGTGTTCTTCGGTTACGTGTATTATTTTTACAGTGTCGGAAAATACGAATTTGGCCGGACTCGGTCCTTGTATGACAGGACAAATAAACCCCTAGAAAGTATGCATGTATGACAATTAGCCTGATTTTCTTCTTCATTTATCGGTTTCAGGTATTTTTCTTTGGCGGGCGAAGTTCTTGAAACCCGATTTATCGATCGCAAGTCTTCGTCAGTTTCGCTCGCCCGATGGTGTGAAAAAGAACCAAATTTAATGAAGAAATTACTGCAAGCGCACCTTAGCAACGGTGGGTACACGGCATTAATAGGCGGAGCCAAAGAACGAATGCTCGGATTGGCTGATGCAATGTGCGCAGTACTAACTCACTCAGAACTCAGCGGTACCGTACTCAGTCCGCAGATGTCGTTCTACCCAGCATTGCATCTGCAGGCCATCATGCGCGACACGGCCATACCTTCGGGTTCAACATCCGCCGTACCTGCTGTAAATCAGTTATCGACAAAAGAGTTGTCGTTTTCGCCTACGCCGTGCGTAATCGTCGATATGGATAATCATAACACTCACAGCCCCCGGGTATTGCGATCTTCGCTCTTCATGGACGTGAGGTCACAGAGTGCGGCCAATAAAAAACTCAAATCTGTCAAGGCTCCAAGCGGCGATAGCCTTGTCGAACGGATGGTCTCTGAGCTGCAGAAATTGGCAACCGCATCTGCCAATGAGGCACACACCGAAATTGTCGTACGCCGGTACATGTCATTGTTGTGGGGCAAAGGTGCTAGTCTTGTGGCGATGATCCGGAATTCAAAAAGCCCCTTAACGCGGGATCAGTGTGCCGCATTACTTAACGTCTCGCCTACCTGCGATCTCGACGTAGTGTTGGCATTCGCTGATAGAATACAGCCTGGTGCCACAAAACTTCTCAAAAGTAACAAGGGCTCTTAACATTATCAGTAACACTTGTGGATTGGACCTTTATTAGGTATCGGCACGAAAGGGAAAAATGAAACCAATTTTAGGGAGTCCTTCTGGAACCACGCCATGAAGGCCGGTCAGCATTCATTGCAGTTCAAAAGCCCTTGTTCAGATACTCACATATATTCAAACACTATTACCTACCACCTCAATCGACACTTGTTCATATATATATATATATATATATATAGACACACACACACAGACACAAAAACTTCATATATATATATATATATATATATATATATATATATAGACACACACACACAGACACAAAAACACACATAGATTGACTGAGTTGGTCCTTCGTTTAAGCAATGGTGGATTGGTTCGATTGGATTAGATAGTAAAAAAGTGTACCCTGTTTTTATTCAGGTTGGGGCAAGTTGAGCGGTTGTCCGAAATCCCAACCAGTGAAGAGTACTCATGAAAGTGTGTAACGAAAAACAGAGACCTAGAGTAAATATAAATACATTCTATAGATAGCAGAAAAGGAAGTGAAAGACAGAAGCGATAGACCATGTGCTAGATACTTGCTGGGTATATATACATACACACTAATTAAATGGCGACACATTTGAGATTCAATAATTTCTCGCGCATATTTTCGGTGCGTCTTACGTTTTGAGCCCTGTGATTTTTGACGAATATAAATAAATAAAGAAGAAGCAAAACCGTCCTATAGCACAGCACAAAGCGTGGTTTTTAATCATAATAAGGATAATAACTAAGACGATAAAATCTCGCAACGTATTCTGATATACATTAGCGAGAGTAGTTATTCGCATGTCTGTCACGCTAACTACTATACTATGGATAAATAATCATGATTACCAATCATACGTCAGCAAATGAACGATTGATTAGAACGAAATAGACGTCAATAAAAGATGGCATTTGAACCGTTTACAACTATCTACGCGCTACTTAGGACTTGCGTACATCTTGAAGTTTAATGGCCAGCTTGTTTGTATTCAATTCCTATTGTCACAACCGGATTGAAAATAACATAATATAATAATAACATAATAATAATAATGGAGCAACAACCTAATAAAAAATTATACATACAAAACGAAATGAAAAGCTTTCTAGATGGTTACTCATTGTGGAATCATAGAACTTCAATTCTGCTATGTACATAGGAGACATACGTACTTAGTTTACATGAACGTTCACTGTCAACGATAAGTTTTTTTAGAGGCTATTGCTATCTAAACTGTTTGACAGATTTCAATACCTGAACACAACCGATACAGTTGTGTCTAGCATCGTCTTCAGAATATGTCTGTGACAAGCAACTTTCAAGATATTTTTTTTGTTCTCTTTACATAGTTTTTTTTTATTCTATTTATTATACGTATTCATTTAACGGGTGAAAAATTGGTCGGGATAATCGTGGAGACTTACGAAATATATTCTAATGTTACGATCGAATGCTTGTTGAACCTTGCCCTTGAGAAACACCAAGAGCCCTTTTTTCCATAATGGTATATCGAGCCCATTTCATTGATCAATAGTACACTTTCTCTTGAGGCTAGTACCACATAACTTCTGATGCTGTGAGCGGTTAGCGGTGCAGCTGCCATTCTGTGTAGACTGTCTCGACAACCACTTGATAATAACTCATTTTGTGTTTTCCTACCTACATGCTTTTCCCGTCAACTGGTCTTTGTTGTTTCCAAAGAAGTGCTTAATGTTATTTGAAAGGTAGTTCATGGCTAATACGCTCTGGTTTCTTTATAGAACGCCAATTTTTATCTCTCACTTATTCTCGCCTGTCAGATGTGCTTATGGGGTCTGCATTAAACATTTGTCAAATAGATGTACATTTTGTCGTTAAATCTACGGTAAACCCTGCACAACCTATTATGACCTTAGAGTTCGCGAAATGTACATCTTAATTAAGTTTTTTAATTAAGTAAATTAAGATAATTTACTTCAATTAAGGCATATAGTCAGTACGATTAAGTGCTGATTTCAATAGGTTTACTAAATGCCGCTGATAGCTACTAGAATGCTCAGTGCTTGGTGTGGGCACGAGTGTTGGCAACCGGTAGTGCTAGTGTGTGCATTTGGGCCCTGAAAACATCTATCTCTATTATGATGCTAATTGACCGCGGGAACAAAATTGCAAAAAAATGTTCAACCACTTGGAATCGGTTGAAGTAAATGCGATGAAGACCACACGCTGAGATACATATATGCGTCTCTATTCCCAGCTCGTATCTACACTGAAAACTTACCTGGGAAAAGCCTGAAATTGTTGAGTGCGTATCGGCAGTACTATAGGGAACACAGACAGTGAAGATCTTTTAATGTTCATCTCCTGTCCTGTGGCAAAAGTTGTCAAATAGGAGGTAAAATGCGGGTGAGGAGTTGTTGTGCTATGCCAAATATTTGCCACTAGACATTATAACAACAGGTATCGATCGCCAGTGGTGAGAAAATCATCTCAAATAAACACATGACACATCCAGCGCTCTTGAAGACCGAGTCAAACTATTTCCTATGAATTTCTTAATGGACGGCCCGGTAAACATTGTTTCCGCCATCCAGTGTCCGTAGCAATTTTCGACCCTACTTTTGGATATATTCACATAACACAGGAACTCTTGATTGAACAGTCTTGTAATCCTGCCTCCCTTGACTGCGAGTCAGATATTTGGACTGTGTGACCTGTCCAGATAGGTCACGGGGTACATTCAGGCTTGTGCCGAATCGCTTATTACAAGCGATCTATTCAATCTATGGGCTAAAAAGTTGATCCGCCGGAAGTATCTTCTTCTGGATCTCTACATGGATAAGGGCATACAGCTAGATTTTGATTCAGAAGTTCATGTGTGGAATGTGCGGGATCTTAGCTGATGGGAGTTTACCATTGATATAACTGGTATGATTCAAAACACAACGGATATAGTAAACATTACTCCGGCACCAGTGAACACTCGTATGTTCAGTAAATAAAATTGCTAAAATCGATATGCTAGCAGCAAGTCTCAAGCAATACAGGAGGGGCTCAACAAACCGAGCTCTTTAAGGATGGAGCTTATGCGTAGGCAAGCTATACCCTGTATGCGTTAAACAACGAAAAGGTGAAGCTTCTTTTAAAAACTTCATTGAACGAATTGGCGGTTTTCATATTGAGTGCTCAAAACAGGGATGCACCTTGTTACTGACTTCAGTCAATGAGTTTTCTAAAATAGCACAGGCCGAGTCGGTCATCATAATACAGTATCTGGGGCTATTCAAAAAGTTGGTAGGTTTTCACACGGGTACGGCGCACATTTCTAAAAAGAAAAAGTATGATTGCATTTTTAATTCCAGTTTTTAACTGCTGGACACAACAACACGATGGATTTCGGCTGCATGACCATCTGGAATGTCTGTACAGCTTAATAAATCTGCAACCAGGCTCCTATATCGAGTGCGACTAACAGAGAATTTCATACAATGGAAACTTCATATAATCGACATAGAGTTTAATTCCAGTCTTATCATTGACATTCAAGCAAGCACGTCCTATCCTCGTACTTTCTCGCAATTAATCTCTATACAATGGCTTTTTGAGTTATGTATGTGAATAGGCCGTTTTCGCGTCGACCAAGGAAAAGCGATTTTTTTTTTAAAACAAATCCTACATCTCTAGACATTCCATAATAGCATTCAAACGATGGTCACGTCGGTCGAATGCTCTTATCAATTTTTATCACCTGTGTATATTTTGCGTTTATGATCGACAGGGCATAAGCCCCGAAATATTTTCGTGGTTCAACAAAATATTTATTTTGAAAAAAAAATATATATATATATATGTATAACTAAGTTTTGGTCGAACTGACTCAATCTTCGGTCTTCTGAAAATATCTAACGGCAGTTTGAAATCAAGTAATTTTGCTATATTCGCAGTTCTTGTAATATTTAATATAATAATTATGAATCAATAAATAGGAATATTGTATCAGCGTTGACATCACCCAGTTGAATAACATGTGTACACACCATTGTTGTCCCTATCATCTATGTGTATTAGCACCATTGCCTTTATTTTATTTTATTAAGAATCCGTTTATATCTGCGCTTGTAACTCGTTTAAGTGTTTTGTGAGTAAGTTCATATCGAGTTCATGTTAATTTTATTTTTTCCATTATCTTGTAACGTATCCACTCCGTTAAGCGGCTATTCGAGGACGTTTCAAGTTCGCTTCGCATGTAGCAAATAGTAATGCGTACATAAATGTCGTATGTATTCAATTACGTAGTAATTTTGAAGGAAATTGCGTTCAACTGGTTCATGACGAATGTACTATTCAATAGGATATATAAGATCGCTCTTTGCGTACTCCAAGCCAAAGCTTAAGGGACTTCTAAGCTTTATTGAGAAACAGCGACTCATCACCGGAGGTAAAATTTAGTTTTTCATCCAAAGATCTCAAACCAAATGGATACCAATTCCTTAAGGTAGATAGTAAAAGCTTGAGGATAATATGAAGTTTTATCAGCAAGGTAAAGAACAATGTTTAAATTATTTCAAACCAAAAAGCTTTTGAGAAGGATATTTGTTTTGTTTCGTTTTATTATTTTGTGCTAGTAAGAGAATATTAAAGGTCATGAAGATTTATAGTAACAATTAACTTGTAGTTAACTAACTTAGTTAGATGTGCACAAACGTGACCTGCACTTCCTCGAAACCTAGATTTCTGCCTAAATGAAACGTGGCCGACAAAATGCTTCATACGCCATTATAATTTTATAATCGCGTGTGAAGGATTAGCAATAATTTTTATTAGACATAGATGTCCGCGCATACATTACACAAGTCTTTGACTACATCAAACACTGTGTTAGTATCGAGTTAACTCGCCGATAGAAGGAAAATTGAACAGACACACGCAAAGGAAAAACTAATTGGTTCCAAATATATCTATTAGGGTTGTTAGAATAAACAGAGCCTCCTTCAGTAAAGCAAATAGCAAGGCGTCGGGCTGCCTGAAAGCGGAGAAGTACAGACTCAAGAACCGCTGATGGAACACGGCCCCCACCAAATTTCTATGTATGCGTTTATATTGTAACTTTTATAATTTAACACTTTTGATCTGCAAAAAAGCTAAAAGTTCTTGAGCAATGTTGTCAGAAGAGCGTAACGGATTTCGTTTCGAAAAAGCTTTAAGTTGTCGATGTGTGCCGAAGGTAATTAAGAGAACTGTCGGTGCAAGGTCCGAAAGCTATGGAACGTGTAACAAAATTTCTCATTGAAGCCCAGGAGGGCAGTTTTGACGCTATTTTCCGTGCGTGGCCTAGGTTGTCCCGGAGCAGATATGCTTGATTTTGTTTACGGGGTCTCTCCTTTTGGATAGCTTGCTTGACTTGACGCAAATTGGCACAGAATATGCCGATCAACTGTCTAATGCGTAATAAGCAGTTCCCAGTGGATCAGGCCCCTACAGTCCCTCCAAACGTAGAGCACAACCCTTCTCGGGTGAACTTTTTGTTGGATCTTGACTTTTCTTCTGAAGACATCCATTGCGATGTATAGCTTATGTTAATGTACAGACACCACTTCGTATTGTCGGTGACAATTCAATGCAATGGTAATTGAGGCCGCGTAACGATATGCAGCGTTAAGTCATAGTCCGTAGTCGTAGAGTCAGAGAGTTTACTAGAGACCACAAAGATTTAATAAATTCACATGTAAACCTAAAGGACTTGGAACGCTTATGGCGGTCGTATAGCAGTCTACTTTTTGGGTCAATTCCCAAGTTTAAAGTAGCAATAAGTATGAAATGTGCTATTTTATTTGGAGAACAACGTAGTTTACCTGTTTCTGGAAGCCATTGTCAGTGAGAGCGCACGTTTCTTCTTTCCGTATGCTAAAAGCGCCCAAGTTGGTCAAGTTACTCCAGTTATTCAGACTTCTATTGGCGCATGTCAGGGTGGAGCTTTGACCGACTGCATTGCCCGGTACATGAGCTAATTGATGAAGTTCTCGCATTCTATGT